GTTTACAAGGACTGGTGTCGAAAATGATTGTCACCCCATATTGTTCGCATCAATTCAATTATATTTTCAAACAGGCAAAGAATATATTTTATGTCTCAAAAGCATTGGCTGTATGTCGCTAGACCCAGACTTTAATAAACCAATAGACCAACTTGAAAACAATGCACCGACGCATAACAGAAGAAGCATGGATACAACAGGTAATAATCCTGCACGGATTAGGCTAGTGGATAATGACTATCTCCCGACACTAACACGACTGCGTGATATGGGAGCAAATCACAGTGAAGGACGTTTACGTTCGGGTCCGAGAAGGATCAGCAGACAACAAGTATCCGGTCGTTTTCTTAAGCTGGTGAGAAGTGTGTGGTTACGTATGCTGCTCGTAGCAAACAGCCAACAGTTAAATATATCCCTCAGCTGGAGAAAATTGCTGCTGAGACCACCTTGTCAGGATTAATCCCGGCACAGATTTTCCTGTTATTTCTAACTCAAAAGTTATCTGGAAACTTGTAAAGACGAAAAGATAAACGACAGATGATCCATAAAACTGTAATGGAAGGTGCGGACAAGAAATAAGCAGAATGGTTTAAAAAATTATATACACAACTGACTGACCTTGAGGCCAGTAAGAAACAAACTAGCAGACAATTTGTGCACGTCTAAAACATAATGAAAAGGTACCAGGGACCATAGTTACACAGCATCACACAGGCAGGATTCAACTCTTCTATTATATGCATGCATAATCAAGGGACTCCATTGTCAGCAAATATTGTAATTATAAGGTAAAACCCACATCCTACAAGGCTAAGCAAATGGGAAAGAACAGAGACAGACGACACCGTCAAGCAAGGTCAACAATTCAATAGCTTTCTATCAATTCTACATTTCCTGGCGCCGACACACCAGCATTTTTTGTATGCACATAATGGGCGCCGAAACCTAGTAGCTCAGAGACAACTTGACATACCCCCCCCCCCCCCCCTCTTCCACGCAAAAGACGGGGATGACCTCCAAAATTCTTGTTTATATATTTCCTTTTCCAAATATATTACGCGTACTGTGTTTGCCGTGGCGTTAATGATACGACGCCCGCCTACGGATCGGAAGGTTGCGGGTTCGCGTCCTCATGAAGCCTTTCTTTAAAAAAATGACTTGACTGTCAGGTCGACCCAGTCTTGAGTGATACCAGGTGCAGTCCTGGGAAGTAAAGGCGCCCGACCACATTAACCGCCAAGTGCTGATTGGTTTATAAAAAACTTAGGTCTAGCACTATATTCTCAATTTGCCTAAAGAAGTGGAAAAAGGATATTCTCTTTTATGTTTGACATTCTTCTTCTCTGTTTACAGATTTGAAGTCCTGGTTGTTCGTCCGTTTGAATTTTGGCTTTGTGACAGGGCCTGAGTTTTGCGTGCACATCCGTTTTACTGGCTTATTTGTATCCAGCTGGTTGTTTCTTGCCACTAGGGCAGATGCACTCCGACTCTGCAGGAGGTTAACTAGTCGACTCCTATGATGTGCCTTTTCTTTGTTGGGTGGAGGAGGCAGGTTGGCCTTTTCTTCTTCACTCAACAATGGGCCCTGGAATCCACATAGGGAATATTTGCCATTTGGTCCATATTAATACCTGCACACTTAAAACAGACATCCCCCCCCCCACAGTCATCTTTTGAAGAGGTGCTCCTGGTATGCTCACAACCCCAAATGTAATTACATCACACCTTTCAAATCCCGTGCAACAAGTGACAATAGGCCGCCAGGTAGCGCCCGCTAAAGCTATGCACACGCCCACTAATTAAAATGTAAATCTTGTCTCCCGTTTCACGTACTGCAGCGAGAACGTATACATTGTAAGCACCAGCATATATTGAAATAATAGCGCTTCAAAGAACACTGGGCCGAAGCAAGCCAAATCTTCTCACTTAACGCAGGTAAGAACGTCTTCTTTCAATAAAGGGAAAGAACCATTTTTTTCATGGGACACAAAATATAAGAAGGCGGCTGAGATTTAGCCAGTCACATGAATAAACACATCCCTGGTGGCTGACTGATAGCCGGATTTAGCCACCCCCCTGTAGAATCTGTTAATTACACGGCATGCATAAACCAATGCCTTATCCATGGGGTTACAAACGTCAGAAGTAATGTCTGATAAAAGTGCCCAATTAAACTTGGGAGAATACACAATTACAGCAAATGTTTATCTTAGTCTTCAGGAACATTTAACAGCCCTAACCAGAAAAGAAATGCTAAAAGCCCAACTCTTGTTGCTAACCAATTATGGTCAAGTTCAGTAATGAGAATTCCACATTGGCAGAAATTTACCACAGGAAAGTAAACATTGCAACCAGGCAACAAAATGTAATATTGATTCAGTCAATCCTGTATATGAATTTGATAATAATACAACAGTGGTGGTTTGTGGCTTGGAAGTGAAATGCCAACACTGTGGTTACAGGTTCAAATCTTCATACTACATCACTGGATAGGATATTTTTAAAAGCACCTCTGAACCAGAATTATTAATTCAGAATGGGAGAGAACTAAACAGATTTAAGTGAATGAAGATGTGAAGAAACATTTGCTGGTATTACAATTATTAGAATATAGGCAGATTACAGGATAATAAAACATGTGATGAAAAACAGAATAAATGAGGTGAAAAAGATGACATGGGACAATCGGAATATGACGGCAAAGAATATGGAAATTAATAAGGTGCAAGTTGGTTCAGGAACTACGCATCAGTTCATGGATACAAGGCAGAATAAGAAGTATAAAAAAAAAAAACTAGTGATTACAGTCCTTAATTTGTATGTCCTCTAATGTGTCTTCCTGTCTCTATTTTTTTTCTACATACCCATATGAGTGCAAATCAATACTGGTAGAATTACTTATCTTGGTATTTAAATAACTCTATAGTCCCCCAAACCTGATGACTGTGTATACCCAAGACAAAAAATTCCAGGAAAAAGTCAGAGAAGAAGAGTGGATGGAACAGACATTACAATTCTTTAAAGAGGCGATATTTTTTTCAAGCACTAAAATATCGCAGATTAAAGCAGAAAAAAAGCCTTATTGCAGGTTTTAAAAAAAACAGTCTGACGACGAATCTGCTGACCCATCAAAGATGCAAATAGCGAGGGATAGAAAGTGAGAAGCAACAATGAATTTTATAATCTGTTTAAATCACCACTGATCACTGGCACATGAGAGCTAATGGAGTGAAATGGTTTGGGCATATTGAAAAGAATGTCAGATGACAGAGAAGTTAAACAATCACACAAGGGAGAGAGTATTCATAGACCACAAGGCAGACCAAGAAGACGATGGAGAGATGTCCAGACAGACCTACAAACACTTGGTATCACCAACTGAAAAGAGAAGGCCAACTAGAAAGATGAGTGGAGGCGGTGATATCTGCAGCAATGAACCTCAAGGGCCCAGAATGCTGAAGAGGAAGAAGAATAGATAAACAATTAAAATAATATGCAGGTATAGAGATATCTATGTGTTACATCACAGCCTCTATGCTATTCCCTAAGCATTTTTTTCTCCATATTTACTGCAATTTGAGACAAAAGTATACAGAAATGTTGCACCTTTTCTTTTTGTGTTTATGAAACCAGATAACTTTTAGAGGGCTCAAAAGGTAATAAACACTGCAGATTCTGTATATAACTGAACAAATAAAACCATGCTCAGAGACAAAGTTGAAAGGTTTAAATATGAGGTAGGTTCTCCTGCAGTAGCGCTATTCAACTGATGGCCTATCAGCCAAATCTGGTCCGTTGAGGCTTACCAAGTGACCCACCAATCATTGCAAGCTGTATTGTGTTAATGATCTTTCTAAGCTTGGGATCCAGCCTGTAGTTCATGATGATCCTGATTTTCAAAATGTTGGCCCTTAAGTAATCTTAGCGAAATAGCCCAGTCCTAGATCTTCACTGCTTTGTGTGCATGTCTTTATACAAACACAAACATTTAGATGACTGTTACATAACGGAAGATGGCTATTGTCATTATTACTAAAACATGCAATAATACAGAAAACAGGGCTGACTGTAGTCAAAATGATACTGAGAAATGAATGAACCAATATGCAGAGAATAATTAGGGAGATTATAACAAACATTTCAGCCAGTCTTCATTATCAAATAAAACAGGAATTCCAACGTGTTCTTTGTCCATCTGAGGATGTAAATGCACTGTAAGTTTTTAAACTACAGCTGCAGTATTTCAACCTTTTAGCCAATAGACTCAACTTCTTTAGGCATTTATTACCCAGGTTAACTTCGTGAGACAATTCAGCCTCAGTGTTGTGTTGTCATCTTTGCTACCAGGTAGTTTGACCCCCCTCCCCCACAACCCCAAAAAAAATCTGGCCGGTCTAGAGAAGCCACATAGTGCTGGTCAGTGTTCAATAGAGGAATCTTACACCACAAATAATAATTTAAAAAAAAAAACACTGGTGTGATATTTTCATTCATAGCTGCGCAATATTTGTTATGTAGAAACTCTGTTAACATACATGTTCGGGTGTGTCTATGTTGATTTTTGTTTGTAAAGCTCTCTGTGTTGGTTACATGGGGGAAGGGGGCACACTGGACCTTAACAAGCGTGTCATAGAAAGTAACTAATTGAGGTAATGCATAAATTTATGATTTGGACGGAAGGGAACAGATATCACAACCTAACCATAAACTGCAACACAAGCATCAACAGACACTGTAAGGGGGGATTGAAGAAGAAGAAGCTGTGCAGGATTCTTATTATTCTAACTGCCAATTAAGACTTGGCTGAAATGTTCGGTCCTTCTGAGTCATCTCCTTCACCTCTGTTAAGCTACTCGAGACAAATTTTTCATTGTTATTTTATTATCATGCAATGATTAAGCATTTTGGAGAGGGGAAGAAGTCAGGTTAGTAAACTGCAACAAGTTAAATTTCAACAGTACAAAAGCTAAACACCATTTTGACAAAACAAAAAAACTTACCCGTAGGTACTCTCTCTACAGCCTCAGAGTATATATCCAAGCACTTGGCTATTGCATCCTTTCGCTGGACTGCAATAAGTATTACAGTACTTATTATAAGAAAATAATAATACTGTACTTTTTGTGTGGTTCTGGTTCAGAAAACAAATTTCACAGCTGGCGGGAAAGTTATTAACCGTGTTCATTTTTATTTTTTAATCGCAATTAGTAAACTACTGAAAACATAAATACCAATGTAGGTGTAGAGAGCAAAAATGCTACTGAATGAAGCAAGCAATGAACAGTGCTGCTATGGTTTATATTTATCAGCCAATTAAAGGTTCATTTTGGAATAGCCCTTATAGTACCAGCTGCAACCTGTCCACCTTTGTCGAATATCTTCCATAACCTCTACCTGTTCCCACGCCTGAATTAGTCTTTCAATGTATAGATTCTCTGTTCTATTGCACTGCCCACGTTATCTAAGAGACCTTCACATTGTCTGCTTTATCATAAAACAGAGTAGCCAATCTGTCAGTCTGCTTATTACCAGCACACCCGAATATCTTGCACAGAAAAATCCATATGCTTCTGATCTGAGTCTTATCATGTGATGCAAGCCACTCTGTAACATTTTTGGGCCCGGGTTAGCCTTCCTAAAACAACATTTTAAGGACACCATGTAATAATCTATTACTGTTAACCCTAGTTACTTCAATACACTTAATTAATTCCATGGTCTGGGTGGTCTCAAGGCATGGCATCCACCTCAAATGTTGGAGGTCCCGGGTTCAAGACCTGTAAAGGTTGGGATTTTTTCACATGGACTTCTAGTAATTTCCCCCTGGTCTTTAGGTATTAAGGTTAGACGTCCTTGTGCATTGCTGCTCACATTTAAAAAAAAAACCTTGGCAGTTGGAAATCGAAAAGCGTAGCCTAACGGCGCTGCCCAGGTAAAAAAATCTACCCAAAGTATTTCAGGATCCTCGCAGGTGCTACAGAGTTCGTGCACTGCGCTGAGATTCTTCTGACTCAGGCTTGAGTTAGAAGTAGAAAAAAACACTTATTGGTTTCTACCCTAGTGCGACAAACAAAGCATATAATGCAAAACAAAATGTCTAGGTCATATTATATTTTTCAAGATCACTTAATATTTAAATTCGTTAAAGCCATACCTGGGGATAGTTTCTTAAATTTCTGAAGGTTACTCAAGGCCAGTGCATTCCACACAATAGGGGTGTCAGGATACAGTCGTTTCAAGCTGTGAATCAAAGTGTTAGGAGATGACACTCAATAAACAAGTGTATGGTCTTAACACAAAAATTTAAAACCTTCGGAAAACTTTTGAGGTCATCAAAAAAAGCATAATATAAATTCATGAAGACTCATATTCTGTAGCTCTTAATAAACTGGAAAATGTATCTACTGTAAACTCTGCACTGGCTGCTGAAGGTGGTGACAAATCTTTTGCAAGATTGCTGTGATGTCTTAACACATAACTCTTATCTGTTTGTTGGACTGAAGCATGAGAATGTAGAAGTGGTAAAGGATATTTCAGAAACAGTGAAGAATACGAAAGAAACACATTAGCAGTCTAGAAAAAATGGTGCGAATGGCAGTGATCAGAGGGAATTTGGTAGACATTCAATATAATCAAAGGAAAGGTATCAGACTAAACCTGGCACCTTTATTATTAAAATTTTAATCTTAGACTGCTGAAAATGAGTTAATGAGTGCTGTGATGTTAGTTGTTAAATCATAGTTAAAGTGACTAACTCCGAAATAATCTGAGGTTCTTCACTCGCAAATCATATTTAAATTTACCAACTCAGACGTGATTCACTGGCAATCATTAACTCATATCTTAAGTGATCTACACATGAGTTGTGAGCCCAGAACTCTCATCTAAAATGCTCACCTGCATATTATTTACAACAATGTTTCCCAATATAGGGCTGATTTGATTGTTAAGGGAAGCAATTCAAAAATGGACCCATCCAGAGTTTAAGTTACATAGGGGCGTACAAATTTTAGAAAGGCTTAGGTGAGGCTTGGTCCACACAAAAAGCTGGGAAACACTGAAAAACAGACAATCATCAAGTTAAGTGTACATTTTATACGGCAAAAATTAGAGACACTGCGATAAATTTTAAAAAAAAATAATACTTACTCTGCCATTATCAGCTTCTGTTGTGTCTCGGCTTCTTTGAAGAAACAACAAATGTTGAACAGTTTCAGGTGAAACTCTGGGTTATCTGTAAACAAGACAATAACACTGTATGAGTTCAGAGTATGAATGACTGTTCATTCATTTCAAAACTGAAAATACTGTGTGTGGCCATGTTAGCTAAATCATCTATACTGGAGAAAGTTATCTCCAATGGGTCCTGATAAAACAACTTTTATTTATTTTCTCTACAAGAGATTTAAATAACCGTTACAGCTTAAATCACTAAAAAAAAAAATATCCTCTAAAATATTAACAATCAATATTTAATGAGATACCATTGAATGACACAAATACAAAGTGATGCTGTAACTGACCAGGGAAAAGTTCAACTCCTTGCCTGTAGACAATCTCAGCTAATTTCAATTCTGTTACTTTATCTTCTTCAGCATTGCTGGCCTGTGGCTGTGCCTGTTAGGACAACAACAAAAAAAGAATATTCAAAATTCTAGGCATGATAGCAGTAGAGTATATATCAGCTAATGGTCTTCTTCTGCCTACCCTTTCCTCTAACTTTTCTGCTGCCAAGCTGTACCTTAATGGAGGGCAATATCATTTTTAGTACATGCCTATCATAGTTGGTAGTAAAACTAAAATACTGATTCAAGCTGGTACTAAACCATTATCTTTTCACAAATTACATTTCACTGGTCCATAATTTATTACACTAAATACACTTACCTCACTGGTGGCAATTCCTAAAACAGCTTTTCTCTTGAGAATCTGCTTAGCCAGTTCAAGTTCCATGCGATACATCTATAAAAAATAAAACAATTAATTGCTGCGTTAAATAATTCTATTGAAATATTACTATAGATCTGACAGTTTCTTTACAGAATTATTGTAATAATTATACTTACCCAAGAAACAATTTAATACATTAAATTAAGACACCAAGTCTAAACAAACCAAAAAGTTATGTATTTATTTACAAAGCAAACCAAGCCCAGCATTTGTTGGCTGTTTATAGAATCATTTGGCAATTATACATTTAGTAGTTTGCCTCTGCTACTGAACGGTTGGCTCTCCATACTAATGTCAAAGTTAAGGCAAAGTGGTTTGTTTCCAAATCACCTGCTGTTGAATTAAACAGGACATTTTTAAATTTAAAAAAAAAAGCCATGTTTATAACCACTAATCCACAGATGCTTACTAATTTAAACTAAAGAAGTTATGCTGGTAAGTGATCTTATAGACCATTCAGTGTGCATCATCGGTAGTCATGGATAGCCACAACCTTCTGTTTCATGTCCAATTCTTACACAGATGTTCTTTTGTGCCCTGATGTCAATTGTCCAGCATCTTCGTCAAGCTTTCTTTGTCTTTTTCCCCCACCGTAATGATGTACTCCAGGTTTTCTTTCTCATGACATGACCCAAGGATGTAGATTTCTTCTGATGTGAGTAATCTTTTTAATCTGTCTAGGGCAGTGATTCCCAAACTGCGTGCCGCGACGCTCCGGGGACCCCGATCTCTTCACAAGGGCACAGTGAAATATGTGAAGATACACGAGCTTTTTTTTTATCTTTTATATACAAACAGTCATATTTTAAGGTTAGGAAAATTTTGAATTTAAAAAAGGGAGCAGCGACTAAGAAAAATTTGGGAAACACTGGTCTAGGGTATTCTCATCATTCATCTACAAAATAACTTTATATTATAAATTCTAATGTGTTTCACAAAAACTACCCGACTCTTCACTTCCGAATATCAGGAAGTGATCTTACCTCAAGGATAATAACTTGTGATTCTGGATTCACTCTTTGTCCCTTCAAAAGAATCTCTCTGGCCAATTCTGAGTTGGCATTGCCTCTTGTGAGCTCTCCCACTGGGCTGCCTTGACCCATAAGTCTGAAAGAAAACCAAAGGCTCATAAATGAATGAATCAATCAAAAATTAACACCCCGGCACTCAGGACTTTTCTACATGTGCTCCGTCTCCTTCTTCAGAAGCCAAAGAAGAGTTGATACGCTAACATTACCTCCTGCAATCTGATCAATTAAAGTTGGTCTATGTTCCCCACAGGGCTGAACATCCTCCAGACCCCCTGCACACCCCTCACTGGAATAGTCCATCAATGTATGGATACTTGGTCTGTTCTGTTGCACTATCTACTTGATTCAGCGACCTCTGTCTCATGTTTCCATGGTATACACACTTGGTTTCCAATGTTCACCCACATGCATCGCTTAAATCTTCAACAAGTATTTGTGTTCATGCATGCGAAAGTGTAAGTAACATGCACGTGAGAGATCTGCCACGTCCACAACACATGCATACACTGCACACACAACTATAAATAAAAACGCTCTCATTCTCACTGACACCTACACACATATACACTAGTACATCATACATACCTGTATGTAATCATACATACCTGTATGTAATCATACATACCTGTATGTAATCATACATACCTGTATGTAATCATACATACCCATATACACTCATACATAACCACACTTACAGATGCTGACATACACATTCAAACACAGAAATATACACACTTTCACTTCTACAAACACACATACTCATACAACAAGTAATCTGTAAAAGCAAAATAAGCTGACAAACCTTGGCTGTGCGAGTGTATCTTCAAAACTTGATTGTACAACCTGGTCACATAAGCCTTCTCTTTCTGCAACCAAACAACAGACAAGTTAATTTAAAAAAAAAAAATTGCAATAGATGTTCTCTAAATATTACACCTTCCAAATAAGTTAATTGCATACCCTACACAGGATGCGGAAAACCAACTCCAGTATATGCTGCGTCTGTGGCCTGAATAGGCTAATAACCTCTTTTTCATTTTTTATGTTCATCATCATCAGTTCTCGTTATGCCTAGTGGCACATGAGGCTGCAGAGAGGACTTTCCATGCTTTCCTGTCCTGTGCAATCTTCAGTGCAGTTTTCCATGTCAAAGATGCCGCACTCAGGTCACTTTCCATTGTTCATCTCCATGTTGTTTTTGGGCGCCCCTGTTTTCTCTTTCCCTCTGGTGTCCATGTGAGAGCTGTTTTGGCAGGTATGTCAGACGTCATTCTCATAACGTGGCCAAGCCATTTCCATCTTCTCTTGGTAATCATACTGTCTAAAGTTTCTTGGTTTTCTTGTAGTTGTGTGTTGAGATTGTATCTGGCCAGAAAATTTTTAATTGTATGTAGAGTGTGTGGTGGAAGGTGGACAGCTTGTGTCCATCCTTTTTGGTCATTCTCCAGCATTCTGCTCCATAAAGAAGAACTGGCAAAATTATGCTCTTGTAGAGTCGGAGTTTCGTTCCTCTGCAGTAATTGTTGGATTTCCAGATTTGCCTCATCCTTCCAAAAGCAGCTCTAGCTTTGTTCAGACTGACTGTATGTCTTCCTCTGTCCCTCCCAGTAGGGACACCACACTGCCAAGATATGTGAAATGTTCTACATTTTCAAGTCATTGGTTATTTATGGTCACTGGTTGTTGGTTTGGACTGTTTGTCATGATCTTAGTTTTCTTTTTCTTTATTCTCAGTCCCACCATTTCTGCTGTGCAGTTTAGTCTGTTACTTTTCTCTTGTATATGTTCATGTAATAGGAGTGCTATATCATCTGCAAAATCAAGGTCCTCAAGCATGGTGAATGGAGTCTGCCTCTTAATGTCCTGTCTACTGTGTTCTTTAGTATCCAAACAATCACAAGGTTGAAGAGGAGAGATGACATAACACATCCCTGTCTTACACCCGTCTTTACTGGGAAAGATGTATGGATGCTGTCAAAAGCTTTCTCAAAGTTCACAAAATTAATATATATATTTCTCTGCCATTCGTTGCATTGTTCTAAAATGTTACGTATGGCGAATATGTGCTCAGTTGTTCCTCTGCCCTTTCTGAATCCTGCTTGTTCCACTCGTAGGCATTTATCTACTCCTTTTTCAAGCCGCATTATGACGATTTTACAAAATATTTTGCTTGGTACTGAGAGTAGAGCAATTCCCCTCCAATTATTGCAGTCTGTTAAGACTCCTTTTTTGGGGATTTTGACTATTGTTCCTTCAGTCCAGTCATCAGGCAACACTTCTTTTTCCCAAATATCCTTGAACAATGGTTCTAGAATGCTAGCAGTTGTGTTAGGATCTACTTTGAGAAGTTCTGCTGGCAGTTCGTCTTTGCCTGGTGCTTTGTTGTTCTCTAAAGTGTGGATAGCTTTAAGGATTTCTTGTTTGCTTGGTGGTTGAGTAATAATGTCAATGTCCTGAGAGGCTGGTTGAATATCTGGGGGATTTTCAGGATCAGGTCTGTTCAAGAGGTCGGAGAAGTGTTTAGTCAATTGCATGTCTTGTTTTTGTTCCGTGGTGAGCAGTCTGCCTTGGTTATCTCTGATGGGTATGCTGTGATAATTGTTTCTGTTTCCGCAAATTTGCTGGGTAATTTTGTGTAGGGTTTGTAGATCATGTGCTTCAGCAGCATTTTCTGCTGTTTCTGCAAGATTTTCCATAAATCTTCTCTTGTCAGCTCTGGCACTTTTCTTGGTCATTTTATTTAGTTCGCTATATTCTAACATTAGTTTGTCTTTCTGACGTTCTGATTTAGTGTGATTTATGAGGCTCTTTATTCTTTTTCGCTTGGCAATATAGTCCATGGTTTGACTACTTATCCATTCTTTGTGGTGTTGTTTCCTAGTTCCTAATATGTTATTGCTAGTTGATTTGTTTCTTTGATCTGGTTCCATCTGTCTTGAATGCTGATTGTAGCTGGAGTTTCTGGGTCACTTGATAGGGTTTGAAATCTATTCTTGAGTTCTACTATAAATTTAGTGGCAATGTCTTTTTCTCCTAAAAGGTTAACATTGTAACGTGCTGCCTGTGTCTTAACTTGCGTGTAAACTTTTTTTGAGTTTAAGTCGTAGTAGAGCGACTACAAGGTGATGATCGCTTCCCACATCTGCTCCCCTTTTGACACGCACATCGAGTAGGGACCCACGCCATTTTCTGTTTACCATGAAATGGTCGATCTGGTTTAAATCTCTTCTGTTTGGGGATATCCATGTAAGCTTGTGTATATTCTTGTGAGGAAATAGTGTTCCTCCTATAACAAGTCTATTCGCCATGCAGAAGTCGCTCAGTCTTTCCCCGTTGTCATTAATTGTACCACATCCTTGATTACCCATTGATAGTTCTCTATTCAAGTTGTTGTTTCCAACTTTTGCATTGATATCTCCCATAATGCATAGAATATCATGGGCTGGTACTTTATCTACTACCTCTTGCAGTCTCCTATAGAATGTTTCTTTATCTTCATTAGTTGGTGCGTAGCATTTGATGACTGTAAGTTTGGCATGTTTGCCACTGAATCGTGCTGTCATTATTCTTTCATTGATTGGATGCCACTCGATGAGATGTTTGTATATACCTTTCTTTAAAATAAGTTCACCGGCTGTAAACTTATGATTTACTCTGATGTGTTTGGCTCAAAGTTGTTGTTACTAAAGCCAAACTGTAAACCGTGACATGTGTCACCCTTTTTAGTGGGTGTGAAAAGGAAGTCACGCCTCATTTTATCCACTGACTCTGTAAGCCACAGATCTTAACTGTTATTCTGTTAAATTTTGAAGAATACAAAATCGACAAACATAACAGCAAATGATAAGTTCTTCAACTAACCAGATCCTTGCTGAGCTGAATATGTTGCTCCCACAAGCTCACGTCTTCCTATAAAGAAAACAGAAATAAACACACTTTAATGCATTATGTGATACACTTTGATGCATTATGTGATTATACTTATAAATCGTACATCTTACAAAGGAATAGATCTGCAAGTCTAATTATCATCAAGCAGCAGGTCCTTTGCAGAGCATCACTTTCATCATGGTCAGTCTGTAAGAAACTAGTACTCTCGCCAGTTCTCCCACCCCATGCATGTTCATATTCAAGGTGTCGCTTACATCCTGTGCACATCCTATTGATCTACTGCTCAGCTTTAATGGTACTATGCCTTTTGCTATTATTTTTCTTATCTGCCACTGCACTTAAAATGACCAAAATATTTAAACTTCTGAGACAAGATGCTGTTTATTAGTCAATCTTCCTTGATATACAGATCGTTTTTAAATGTCAGTATTTCTTCTCTTCTTTGTCCAGGGTATTTTGAGAATATTTCTATTAGTGCTGTACCGAATATTCGCTTCGGGGCCGAATAGTGGACCTAATAACTATTCAGTATTTGGCCAAATAGCTGTGGTCGGGCCCCGAATACGAATAGTTGTTACCTTACTCCCGTTTCTGCATACACTGTGATGGACTGAAATAACTGTCTCATCAACACAATAGTTGCTGTTGCCTAAGTCTGTCGTAGCGGGGGAAACTGCGACCCGGTTGCGTGGTACAAACTGCATAAAATGTCAACCGCAGTGTGTGAGAGAGAGAGAGAGAGAGAGGGGGGGGGGGTGAGAGAGAGAGAGAGATCATGCATTTTTCGTTCTTTCAGGGTGTCTTCGCCCAAATCAAATTTGAAGATATTGCTAACGAGAATATGATGGTGTGTTTGAATTACATCGAACTATGGTTTTGAAAGAGGTGGGAGCCAGAAGACAACTAATCACAGACATCAGAAGGAGACAGTCGTCATTTTTCAGCCATGTTATGAGAAGAGGAAAAATGGTAACCACTGGAAAGATCTGTGAAAGGAGGGATAGAGGAAGACAACGATAGAAGATTCTTGACAGTCTTGTTGCATGGCATGGAGGTGTGTCAGCATACGAACTGATACATGCTGCAGGAGATAGCAGATTGTGGAGAGGCATGATAGCCCACGCCAGTCGGCAAGGCACCCGATGATGATGATACACTATTCATATTCGGCTGAATAGTTGGTCCCACTATTCGTATTCGGCATTTCAGCTCAAAACCCCTATTTTGTTTCTTAAGGACTGGGAGATAGTCTATTTCTGACATCTGCATGCTCTATAATTTTAACTTTTGATTTCCTTGCTGGTGCTTTATCAAACGTTTAATCTTGTATTGCTACTAAGACTTGCATTAACAATGCAGAGATTAAACAGCATGAGGAACCTATGGCAAAGCACCTGTAAACTACTTAAAGATCATGCATTTTTCTTGTGGCAGCTTATGGTTGTAAGTCCTGGACTCTCACTCAATCACCAAGGAAAGAACTTACAAAATAAATTATCAGAATACTATGGATCTAGACGAGGAAAAGCATCAACACTCTACACGAACTAAACAGAGTCCTGTATTGAAAGTTGAAGTATTTTGGCCACATCAAACATCATGGTGGCTTGGAAAAGATGGTGCAGTTTGTGAAAAATGAGGCAGGGGTTGACCTCCGCAAAGATGGATACAGGACATTGAAGATGCATTGGCACTGAAAGCACATAGGGCTGGAGAGCTGTTTAGGGAAAGGGATACTTTCAGGCACGCTGTGAAGAGAGCAACATTCTGTAACTGTAAAGGACTTGCTGACTGATGATCCTCTTTTTGATTTCCGTCGAACAACCTCCATTGCCATTTATTATGCAACCTCGATATGTTGACATTTTCTGTGACATTTTCGATTTCTTCATCATTTACTTTTATTTTTGAGTGACAGTCACCAGTTTTGTCACAGACATTGTTGTTTTCATTCAAACTATGCTTTAGCACTAAACTGTGTCAAAGGGAAATTTCTTCACTCATCACAGCTGCAGATTTATAACTTGCCTGTCAGCTTATTTTAGGGAAGACTATATCTATACACTTACTTCTGTGGATGGTCAGTCTATTTCGATCACTGAGAACTGCAAGGGGATTCTAATCATGGAGCTGCGACCAGTCTTCTTCTTCTTTAGAGATTAATGTTTGCTATACATCTAATCCAACATGGGTAACAACAGTTTACTTCAGGTCTTCATTAGTGCCTACAAGTTTGTCTTTCAGGGTCACCCATGTGAGCCAGATTTCTTCTCTCTGACTTGTCGTTCTTATTAAATGTACTATGAGGTTTGCTTTAGTGATTCATTCAGTGAGATCCTATTTAGTTTCATAATTATCAAATTATTGGAACTGTATGTAAACATAAGTACCCCCTTTTATTCATCTGTGATGCTGCATTATTAAAAAGTAATTAGAGCCATGTTCTTTCTTACTAACACTAAACAATCACAAAAATATGAGCTTAATGAACTTACCGGAAATCTTGTGATCATAAGCTGGGGAAAAAAAGGTAACTTGTAAGGAGATGATGAAAGAAAGAATAAATAAAGGTAAAACAAATCTCACTGAATCCACTGCTTTAAAGGCGAACAAATCATATGCTACAATCACCACCCACTCTCCCTGACTGCTTTTCTTCCATTTCGTCATGCTATCTTCCAAAGTGTACCACTGCCTACCTCTTGTGCACATGCCTTCAACTTGCAACTATTACCATACCACAGTTAAAATTAGCGTCTACTTCAGCACATTAGTATTTGTCAGACGTCATATGCTGGATTTATTAATTTTTAAAGAAGTCAGCTTAAATTTTCTTATATTTCAAAATATAGGTTTTATTTGTCATCCAATGTGAACATGTAACTGAATACTATTTTGTTAATATTTGTTTTACATAAGTTGTATACCACAATGTACACATGTTTCCTACTCGTCTTTCTTTTGTTGATGAAGGTTAGGTTATGTCAGATGTCATATGCTAGATTTATTAATTTGAAAGAAGTCAGGTTACATTTTCTTATATCTAAAAATATAGGTATTATTTGGCATCTAATGTGAACACATACCTGAATATTATTTTGTTAACATTTGTTTTACACAACAGTTGTATACCACAATGTAGCCATGTCTGCTTCTTGTTTTTCTTGTGTTGATGAAGGTTATATTATGTTAACGACTTTCCACACTGGGCATTCCCATGCGTGCTCAGTCCTTAAATGCAGCAGCCACTCCAAGATACCCCCACTAATTGTTCCTATGAGAAGTTGCTTTCAGTCTTTCCCGGTCTTTACCTTGAGGGTGGCATAAATGTGTTTCACCAAGATTAACATCTTGGTCACTCAATCATGTTAGCGTCAGAGATTCAACTCTTCCTCAGTCTAGTCTGTACACTACTGATGATATCAGCTCTGTCCATGCTTCTTCCTATTTGTATTTGTGTTTTATTTGCCAGCTGGTCAGTAATGAAAAAGCTGAACATTTACACCTGACTAAGTGTGTAGATCCAGATGATTGAGGTTAACTATAACTTCAGAAAGCTTTCTACCTGCAGCGTAAACTATCTGTTTTCATTCTGTTCAAGGAGTCTGGAACAATTAATGCATGTGTCACCATTTGTTCTGCTACACTTTAGAGTGCTCTGGAAGCTGCATTTATTGTGCTTGATGAAGGCTAATCAATGAAACACCCTTTGCTAATTGCAAATATTTCTGTGAAGATGACATATACTTTATGTTTCTTTTATCACTTTTAAAAATCCACTATAATTAAAACCGACGACAAGTCGTCCCTATGTGGGATGCAACTTTTTTGTCATTTGAAGCCCCATCCTGGCATCTGCTGGGGGCTATGAATATAGCTGGGGCATAGCCATAAATATAGTCTAACAGCTGAAAGGGGTTTCTGGGACCTCTCCATCGGTGATCCTCATCCGCATAGTGAAACTTTGCTTCTCCGCATCTACATACCTACCTGTCTTTTTTAAGACTTGAATCCTATCAAAGTTATTTCTTTTAAGAACAGTATGATTATGATGAAAGCACTAGTGGTGTTTTATCTAGTTCAGTACCTGATCACAAATGTAACATGATTCCTTGAAAACTTTTTTTTTTAATAAACTGCTAACAAGTTACACGTCATAAAAGCAAAGAAAATGGAAGTACCATTTAGCAATACCAGATTTATTTTGAACAGTAGCCAAATAATTATAATACTACGTCCAACAGAAGTAACAGTAACTTACCCTGTATAGCTTGTGAATACGATCAGCAATGGACTTTTCAATATCACGTTTCTTGGAATCAAGTCCGAGCTTCTGTACAGTAATGGAAACAAATGCACCGTTTAATACACTATAATGATATTTAAAACAGGGTGAAAAACAAACTGGAAATGTTATAAACAAGAATATAACTTAAAATAAGACTTTAAAAACAAGAAGAAAGACCAGTTAATATCACAATACTGAAACAGCAAATGATGCAGCTAGCAAGCCTTCATCAGCATATGACACAGACAATGATACAAAATACGGCCCAAGCTTCAACAAAGAAGATCTGTATTACGTTCATGCATCATTGCAGGAGTAAGATACAGGAGAGGAAGTAACTCAGAGGTAGGAGCAGTTGTTGAGGTAAAAGGCTGTGTCAATGGTTTTATTTATCATGGACAAGAACACAACTACCCGTCCCAAAGTGGTAAGTGGTTTCGTATGTTCCAATATTCTCTACAGCTATGCTGTGTACTCCCATGTCAGACAGGTCAAAGAACAGAGACCATTTAATCTGTTTAAGCCACCAATACTGTGCCTGTTACCAACTTTACCAACAAGAACAAGCTGCAATCTCTAGACTCAACACTGGCTACAACAGACTTAAATACTGCTTTTTAAGTAAACTACACCCCTGTTTGTGCTTCAGGACCCCCCTGCCCCTTTTTGAGGAAATAAGAAAAGATCTCCCTGCCCCCTTAACAAGCATGCTGTAAAATGGAGTATGTAATGATTAGATTAAATTGGATGTGCTGGGCTCAAGTATGCAGATATCAAAGACTAGATGTAAACCACAAGACAATATGCCAACTGCTCTTTTCATGGAAACACTGAAGAAACAGAGAAACAACTGCAGAAATGAGATACTGATAAATGTAAGTGGGACTGACAAAATGACAGCTAAATATTAACTGACATGTCCAGAACAGAGAACGTTATTCTGGCCTACACCCATCCACTATAACTCTATGACTGTCTTTAAATACAATCACACTGATGTCTGAAGCTGCATGAAGAAGATTTATAATTATACGAAATATGAAAAAGTCCCTTTGGTCTGAATGTTTCAAAGCTTTCAACTTACCTTCCGTCTGATTTTCAACAGCTCCAGAACTTTCTTCTCATACTAAATAAAAAGAAATAAACAAGAAACATGTCCAAACCAGTTGAGCCAATCATTATAAATATAACTGTTTCTGAGTTACCAAAATATAAAACCAATGTAATTGAAATATTTTAGTTTTAGCCAAATATCACATTTATATGTTTCTTCTTATAGCTATTGTTAATATTTTTCTAAGAATAAAACAATACAATAAGTGTATTGAAGATGATACATGTGTCATCATGCCTATTGGACCATAAACAATACGGCCAGCTGCTTGCTATAAGTGTACAAGTAATAACAGCAATCTTCTCCACTTGTACTCTTAACAAACTTTTATCAATAAACAGCTTTACAGTCAACATTTAGTACAAACCAGACGCAAAACATAAACTTACATCTATATAGTTCAGAAACATTGCTTTTGTCTTTGTCAACTGTCGCAGCTTGTACTCATGGTTTTCTCGATTCTTTAGTATAATCCTGAAGGAGAGGAAAAGAAAATTATGCATGAATCGTATAACATAAACAATTATGGTTGGCAACCATCGAAGAAATTGTGGTTTTACCATACATAAGGCCTGAAACCAAGGTACTCATGACTACCATGAATGCACATTAATACATTATGCGAACAACATTTAGGCCTGGCTATTGTAAACACACTTCCCTGCAATTGTAACTTTAGATGCTCGCCTAATTAAATGTGTGACTTTTGCAATACCTGAAGTTGAAGCTTCTAGTCCATTCATTTCTCTAAGTTTCTTTAGTGCGCAAAGTAAAATTTTCACAATTTGTATTTCTTGTTGATGATAAAAGATGGCTGCTTTTATAGTGGCATCATTCTGCCACAGCTGTCACAGACCCACTATGGCAGTGTTGGTTTTTTTTTTTTTTTTTGCGAACATTTATTGTGCTGCAGGTGATTTTACTGGTTTATTTTTAATTCAGAAAGCAAAAGAGAAGATATTTCTGAACAGTCTGATGACTAACAATTCTTGTAATCGACCATCACAAACGTCTTCGAAACTGAAAGAAAGAACATTATGTCAATTTGCTGGTAAGTGTGAACAAACGACAAAATAATGACAATTTACTTTTGAGAGGAACATAAGCTATCAACTTGTCACTGATCTTACTTTGACTCCTGACCTTTTATGGGAACAATTATTGATGGCTTCATGTTTTATTTGTTTTCTAATTAATTCTAACCTGAACTTCAAGTTCAAGCATTGCATTGTGGAAGGGTTGTGAACTGTGATGATCAGATGGACTTCTTGTATGTCTTTTAATTTCATTTCATTACAGAAAGGTTTCCCTGCCTTCTAAATGTTGTCTCTACTGGGATTAGTTTTTGGGCTACTTAGCCATGGGCATGTCTTTTCTGTTAGTGCAAAAGGCAAACATGTCTTTTCTGTTTCAATTGTATGTCCCCAGTAATTTACTACATAACTACATAGCGTAGCCCTCTGTTCTATATACTATATTCACTAAAACACCAAAATACGGTCACATAAGACATCTGCTGAACTGATAAGTTCAGATAAGCGCATGCTGTGTTACTGTTGTTTCGTCATATCACACGATCACCAAAATTACAGATCAGGTCAGTGTTACTACTGTTACTGTCTCATATGGTAAAATCTAAACTATATGGGCAAGTCATCCAGGTATTTATCTTGGCTCTCCTTTCAACTATGGCCGGTAGACAAAAGTAGACGGCCGGTTAGTCGGCGTTCTCTGTTACCTCGATGCAGTGCAATTACGGACTGGAGAAGGCACAAATCAGGAAACAAAGTGTGGTCGACATGCCTGGCAGACCCCGCGCTGCGACTCAAATTAGCGACCGCGTTCAATTACTGCTTTTTGCAACGCATTACGGAGTGGATTAGAGGGAACGAAACAAGTGACATAATTACTGTGTGTTGGCGATTGACAGTGTGCAGTGCCCTACTGTTATCATACGGTTAGGGTTTGGGCTAGGTTTAGGGTTTGGGTTGCTACTTTGAAGATGAGATGCGGCGACACTAACCATAACCCACACCCTAAGCGTATGATTATTATAGCAGGGCAGTGCACGCTGTCTATCGCCAACACACAGTAATTATGTCATTTGTTTCGTTTCCTCCTGTCCAGTCCGTAATAGCACTGCAGCCAGGGGACAGAACTCCGACTAACCGGCCGTTTACTGTTGTCTCTACCTCTACCGGCCGTAGTTGAAAGGAGAGCCTTTATAATTATCTTTTTACCTTCACCGCGCTCCTTTCTTATTTATCAATCTTAGTCCGAATCATCTCTGATCACTATGTTGTCGAGTTAATTTCTTCTGACCTTAAATTATGTAATTTAAAAACTCAAAATAGACAACTGACAACTCTGAACTAAACAGTCAAAACAGTAAAACTCAAAACAAAACTATAAACAAAATTAAAATATGATGATCAACATTCAACATCTTTCTTACTTCGTTTCTTTCACAGAAAACAAACCGAGCTTATTCATCTCCTCTAGCTCGGGAATCATTTCCTCTAGGGTCTGATGGACATACTCCGCCATGATTTATCCGAGATATTTGATGTTACTGCTAAACAAACGCAAATCAGTAAAGACTACAGGTGTCTTGTCGATCACAGAGTCGAAACAGCGTGTCCGTGTTTACAATTTGCCTAGATGATTTCAAACCAGGTCACGTGTGACAGTTCCGGCAGTAAAATAACCCTTCGTAATAAACTTACCTCGCACATATTATTTTGCTGTCGCTCGCCTACGATCTTGTACGAGGGATTTCAGATTAATAAGAAGAAGTATTTCAGTATTGTATATTAGAAGATCACCTACAATAATAAGTACCAATGATTAATTAATGCAATTACTGCTTAAATAGAAAGTAAATCCTATTCTGATCCGCTGGATTGCTCTTCCAGTTCCAGAGAAAGATTGTACTAAGATGTGGTAGCTGGTCCTCAAAAACCGCAAACGATATGTCCAGGCTTGCCACAGGGATCACCGCTATCACCAGTCTTATTCAATGTTTATACGGTGATGATCAACTGAGCAGCAGTTGAATGGAAAGGGAAGGACTTTGTCATTTGCTGATGACATTTTGATTTATCGACGTGGGCGTGATAGACAGGAGATCGCCAGCACAATGCACAAAGAACTCGATCGAATTGCCACCTGGTGTGATGGTTCCAATGACCTATGTCCAATCCCTCGAAGGCATCAGTGTCATGGTTCTCTTTGAACAATCATTTGTCAAGTCGGACTTACCAGAAGTGAAAATGCGTGATAATGTATTGATCAGAACCAACGTTATGACGTTTCTCGGGGTGAGGTTCGATCGCAGCTTGTCATTCAGGGAACACGTTGACCATGCGATCGAACAAAAGCACGCAAAGGTCTATCTGCAATGAGGATTATGGCTGCTTCCAATATCGAGCAAAGACTGCTGGTGCTTCTATTCTATGGTCTGGTCCTTTCCCCCATTGAATACGCTCTGGCCATCCTCACTGTCAGTGCTACCCAGATTGAACGACTCGAGAAGGTGCAAAATGAAGCCATGCGTATTATTTTGGATGTACAAGAGACACATCCTGTGGAGCAATGAGGTATCTACTTGACTTTCCAACAATGAACCAAAGGATCAGGATGTGGAGGGCTCGGGCATACCTCAAAATATGTGCTGATAAGAAACACCCACTGCATCAAGCGCTTTTTAGTGAAAAGGGCGACAGACTGAAGAGGGGAAAAATCGTGGCTAGGTCGGGCAGAAGATGTTATTAGGCAAATATGCAGCCTAACCGACATCATACCTGGTGCAGAATGGATACCTGTGCCTCAGGCGTTTATTTGTACATTTTCCTGTATTGTCACACTCAACAGGCGATGTAGAGAAGATAATCCTGTTGCTGTTAATAGAGGTCAACGCTCTCATCGGTGAAAAATTCAGACGAAGCAGATGCACTAATCTATACAGACGGATCAGTTATACGCCAAAGAAGAAGCGCATGGGCATTTACAGCACGCTCAGCGGGCAGAACAGTCAAAGAAGCCAACGGCGCCTTCTCCATGACAACCAGCAGCATGACGATGGAGGTGATGGCAGTGACGCAAGCGTTTGCCTGGCTTGAAACACAAAAATACACCCGCATATGTATACTCAGTGATTCAATGAGTATGATCCGGAGGGGTTCAGGCAGGTTCAGTGCGAAGACAATGGCTTGAATCAATTCAGAAGTCCACTGTGCGAGGAGTCACCTTATTTTTGTTCCGGGACACGCAGGCGTCGATGGAAATGAAAGAGCTGACAGGTTGGCTGGATCCGCTATCACTACCGACGGTCGGCCTATGGATCATGCTGATATTATCAATGCCCTCAGAGAAATGGGAAGGATAGAGGACTTTGGTGGCAGTGAATCCACATCACTCGCCAGAATGGCAGACTTGGGAATTAAGATCGGCACAGCAAAAAACGAGACGCGCACCAGCTAAGCCAGAAGACTTGTTAATCAACATAGAACTGGTACTATTAGCCATCGGACGTTGGGATTCATACTGAGGGGAGGATCTGAGCACCTATGGACATGTCCGGAGTGCAATGATGATAACCCAACTAACTAACTAACTAACTAACTAACTAATTTTATTTTACACGCTTCTCTCTTTTACGAATGGACAAACAATATTACTAGAAGTATTTTACATAGTATATTATCACCTTATGTAACTAATATAATTATGAATATTTTGTGAAATAGAAAATAAATAATAATAATGAAAATGTTTGTCTTGCAGAAAGAAATAAAAGACCGAATTTTAATTTAGATATGAAAAAAATACAAAATAATAGTCAAATTTTTCATGGAAATAAAAACAATATAATATAGAGCTTGTCGCGAGAAAACAAAATGAAAATAACGCTGTTGAAAGAAGCAAAACAGTTACCATTGAAAGATTACAAGCATATTTAAAAATATAAAGTAAAGGTTAAAAAAAAAGGTAAAGGACCCTTTTCCACGCCATTAAGCGTATAGGGCTAGACCTATATTTGTATAGACCAATCGGCACAAGATGGGTGATGTGGTCAGCATCACGCCGGCCGCCTTTACTTCACGGGACTGCACACGGTACCCACTCAAATCTGGATCGATCTGAGAGCCAAGGTCATTTTTGAAAAAAGTCCAGCTCCGCCAGGGAGCGAACCCACGACCTTCCGATCCGCGGCGAGCGTCTAGCCGCTCGGCCACGGCGACTCCTTAAAGACATAACAACAATCCTGCAGTGTGCAGTTAAAGACAAAATAAGTAATACATGTATATATGGTTGTGAGGAAGAATGAGTAATAATAGATATGGTTGTGAGTATAATGATGCAATGGACCAACACAAGTCTGAAAGAGTATACAACCAAAGCGAGAGATTTTGACGGTAGCGAGACATCGACAAGTGTGCAAGGACTGGCCAGTGAGAGTGAGTTCTGCGGAATCAGGAAATAAATACTTTGTTTAAGAGAATTCCTGCCCTGGTAACGTGATTATCTATACAGATGGCATTGCGTTGAGGTGCAGAAGTGTTGGGGAATCATAACAAAGGGAATGTACGACCCTTCGTGGAATAAAGTCTGCCATATGATGCCCCATCTAGCTGGAGAACTGAGGCGGTGGCAGTCACTGCAGCCTTTTGATGTCCTGACAGGCCGTCTGAGAACCAGATGCACACACGTCCTTACTGTAACAGACTCGCGAAGCATGGTGGGAAAGTCAGAGACTGGCATTCTCGGTGAAGAGTGGCAGGCATCGCTAGAGAGGTCCTGACAAAGCCGTAGCCTTCTCTGAATACCTTTTCGAGGGCCAGCAAGTGTGTGAGCAACGGACAGTCAGGAAAAAGGGCTGATACTGCATCACGTAGTGGTAAAATGGTGGTTCACAAGAGCACATATTGCCAAGGTACTTTGATGCGAGTGAGCAGTAAGGGAGGCCACACATGTAAGTAAAGAGTAAGATCCCTTTTCACGCCCTTCGGCGTATCGGGCATATGAGCAGAGCGTCCCATATTTTTACAGACCATCAGCACTCGGTGGGTAATGTGGTCAGCATTACGCCGGCTGTCTTTACTTTCACAGGACAGCCCATCCTGGTACCCATTTTAGGCTGGGTCAACCTGCGACGTCCCATACCACGACAAAAATCCACGCAGCCTGCAGTGGGTTTCGATCGCGGTATGCTGGCTTACGAGTCGGACTCGCAACGCCTTAGCCACGGACGCCGCGGCCACACATGTAGACCAACAGAAGGTTTCCGTGGCGACGTGCTGCTACATTTAGTTATTCTTCTTTTTCTTCTTGTTTCCCAGCTGTAAACTCTGGCGGAAAGTTTTGGTTGTTTATCCACTTCTGGACTACAGTCCTGTTAAAAGACTTGAGTGTTGCGTGTGCATCCATTTTACATTTCTGACTCATATGTATGCAGACTGCTGGTTCCTTGCCTCTCAGGCAGATGCACTCCTACCTTGAAGGAAGCTTCCAGTTAATCGACTCTTACGACATGCTTTAGGGTAAGCAGAAGGTCTATTCTTGTTTTCCCTTTAATAGGACCCCGGAACCCACAGGGAGAGTTCAGCTATGAATGTCGCTTGTTAACTCATGTTTGCGAAAGATATGGAGTATTGAGATTCGTCCCAGCAAATATTTTATTGTAAAGGCAGAATTTGATCCATTGATATGTTCTGCATTGTAGCAGAGCCACTGAGTGGAGCGTCACAGCCTATATCAACTCAACAGAAATGCATACTGAATAATTTCAGACACATACACAGAACATACATACATTTGCTGCAGAATTGTATGGTCTACTCCCAGCACGGACTGCGTAGCTCGAAGGTTACATTGCAAGACAAGCTGTGGGGAGCCCTAGAGGCATCGTTCTGTTACTGACCCGAGCATGATTGAATCTTTAGCATGGAATTCAGAAGAAGAATATGAAGTTTCCCGTGTGGGTTCCGGGGCCTAATTGTGGGGAGGGAGGGGAGAAAGTAATAGACCCACTGCCTGTCGAAAGAGTCGACTACCATAATTAGGCATTTCTTTCGACGTCGGGATGCGAATGCCTTAGAGAAAGGAATCAATAGTTTGTCAATAAATATCCCAGGTCTGCTAAACGAGTGCGCACGCAAAACTAGAAAACGATTAAAGTCCAGAAGTGGTTGAACAACTAGAACTTTCCGCTGGAGTTTACAGCCGGTCAAATCACGATAAAATAGTGTTTGGTGGAACTGAAACGTGAAAAATAGCCGAAAAAGTACTAATAAACTAAAAACTTACATTAACTGGTGCTTATCCAGAACAACGGGAATTAAAAGGTGTCATACAATTAGTGGTGGAGCTCTATACGTCTTTGCATTGAACCCATAAGGACATAGAAATAAAAACAAAGTGAAAGACACTGAAAAGGAAGTTAGTGAGTGAAATTAAAACATAGGAAGACGGAGTGACCTCCATGCGATAACACAGGATAGGGCTTTTTGACATTAATTGGGTGAGAGTCGTTACGGGTCAGATCAAGAAGTAATTAAAATGCAAATAATGTTTTATAAACAGATTAAAAAATAGGACAAGTGACACCAACAAACATTCTTCGTTTTTTTCTTCTGCATTTTGAGCTCTTGGGGTTCATTGCTGAAGATAACACCTACCCCATTAAATCTGGTATTGGCCTTCTCTTTTCAGCTGATGACTATTGTTTGTAGGTGTCTTCTTCTTTTGGTTCGTCCGAGTGACGTCAATGCGTCATGGCTGTTTGTAACAGTGCTGCGATACTTTCACCTTTCTGTTGACACATCCGACTTCATTGAGTATTTGGTGACCAAGTTAACTTCCTGGTTAATTTCGTGGGGCAGGGACATGTTGTGGCTAATTTATATGATGTTCTCTTTGTCTACATGTGTTGCCCCCAGAAAATTCGTCCAGTGCATCCACGTGTAGTCAGTTCGGCTCTTAGAGGAAGGCAAGGGCAGATCATGGGCATTCCCCGTCATGAAGGCTTCTATAAATGTAGATCCTGGGCTCACCTGAGGAATCGTCACGTTCTGTATGGCTGACTGACTTTCTAACCCACCAGGACATCACACAAGCGATAAACATCCGATGACACAATGTGCCACCATGTGGGTAAGGATTACCGTGGAGAGGTCCCAGAAACCGCGTTCAGCCTTCAGGCCATATTTATGGCCGGGCTATATTGCGGCCCCTGGAAAGAGCCAGAGTAGGGCTTCAAATAACGAAAAATTTCATCCTAAAAAGGACGGTAAATATGGATAGTAAGATGTGACAGAGAAAGACTAGCCACTCCTGCATGGCTGCTTAACCTCACATTCATATGCTGCGCCACACCCATCTTGAGCTAAATACATATTTATAAATAGAGAAGGTCGTGGCTGCGCTTTCCAATCCTCACGGGCTGCGCCCTTCGGAGATCAGCCCGCAGGTCCGGGACTTCGATGGCCACACAAATAGGTTCATTTTTCTTCGGCCCATTTGACCCTTTAACATTATTGTATCTGGAAACTTAGCAAGACAGTTCGGCAAGGCATGCATCTAGCCTCTTGTAGGTTGCACACTCTGGTGAGTAGGACCAATTTTAACGGGCATGTGAACCTTTATGCCAGTTAGGAATTTTTTTTCCCGGGCGGACATTCGCGACTTTGTGTTACAGGCGTACATTTATGCCAGATCAACTCACTGACAGTGGCAGCTTGTCGTCATATACCTTAACGTGGTGACGACGTTAAAGAACAGCAAGAATGTGGAGACCGGAATGTTTGTTCCGCGAGTTACCGCCCGCAAGAGATATTGCTCGTCTAGGCTGCTAGCATATCTCTTGTTACAGGGCTAGTGTACAGTTCAAAGGAGCAGATGGATCACCACAGTCTGGTGAGATTGATGCAGGGGGGAGTGACGAGAGGTTCTGGCAGATGCTCGAGGCTCAGAGGAAAGGCAAGACGGACGTTTGATAAGAACGCCAATGGCACCATTAGTATCAGAACTCTTTCGCTGGCTGCTGAAGATGGAGACGCAGCATTTATGGGAATGCCCTGAGGGCTGTGGTGATAGTTGTTGAATCAACTCAAATCAATCCATAGCGTATTTCCTCAAGTACAAGATTCTCTAAAAATGTCTCAAAAACTGCCAAGTATACAATGGTAGTAGATTTTATGTAATTTTTTTTTTTTTTCCAAATAAATATCCAGTCCTAAAATTAAGGTGCCCCATATTCAAGGAAAATAGGTGACTGGTTACGCAGTAGTTATGGTATTGCATATGCTGCTCCAAGGTGCTGAATCTGACAAAGCTTGTCGCAGAATTAGCAATTTTCTGCCATGGTAAAATCGTGGGTCCTACAGATCAGCATTCTTCACCCCATCCATATGGCCCAACCATTCAGATGAAGGGTTTGAGGTTTTGAACAACGGATCAACATCATGGCACACGGGTAGTAACCCATAAGCGCTCCGTTCTTACTGAAGTATGAAGCTGCTCGGCGCAGTGCACAGGCTCTGTAGCACCGGCGAGGATCCTGAAATACTTTGGGTAGATTTTTAACTCCAAATTTTGCATGGGCAGCGCCGCTAGGCTACTCTTTTCGATTTCCAACTGCCAAGGGATTTTTTTTTTTACGTGCACAACAATGCACATGGGCGTCCGATCTCACTACCCAGAAACCAGGGGGAAATTACTAGAAGTACACGTGAAAAAAAAAATCCCAAAATCCCAGCTCTTATTGGGGATTGAGCCCAGAACCTCTATCACTCAAGGCGGACACCATGCCTCGAGACCATGTAGCTCCCTACCTAAATTCAGATGTTAAGTTTTCCAAGTTCTCGATCCATGCCTTATTACCCCCCCAATCCCCTGCTAATTTATGTCTTTAGTTACAGAAGTAATATCTTGAGAACCGACTCGTCTTTATCATTCCATATTCTCTGCATTACTCTAAAACTACCACATCACTGTAGCATGTGTTTTCCAGTTCATTTGCTTGTATGGCATGGCATTCAAGCAATTCTCACTGCAGCTGACATCTTGCTGTTTAGTATTTTTGCGTTTTGCTGAAGTCCACATTTGCCATGGTGGATATTTTTCTAATTTCTTGTGCCAGCAAATGGTCCTTGCAATATGTCCAATTCAGAACTCAAAATTTCACATTTAGTCACCAAGCTAGACGTAAATAATTTGGAAGCAAATCTTTATTTCATAATTGCTCATTTAACAACACACACAAATAGATAACACCCAATCAAAATGTCATGAGTAAGGATAATCCAAGAAATACTGTAGTGGCTAGATTTAGCTTCAGACAAATATTCTGCCATTACTTTTTCAATCTTAAAATAGTCTGACTTTCTACCAAAGGCCCTTTTCAACAAGTCTTTCTATGTGTTATTTATTAGTAATAGATAAATAAGAAACATTTAAAGAAATTAGATTCAAAATGTAATAAGAGAAAAAATTAAGTCAGAAAGCAACCAGACGCAGCCTTTAAAGTCAGCCAAGCTAACCGTCCATTTCAGTGTTACTCGACAGTAGCAAAAAAAAAAAAAAAAATATATATATATTTAGTCGACATAGCTTTAGGTTGAAAGAAAGTATTACATTTTCATGACTAGACAGTTTGGCATTTTGAAGCATGATTTTTTCTGAATATATTTTCTTCTTCTAACACCAATAATGATTTTTACCATAACAGATGATTAAAAAAAACATTCTAAATTTAATGAGAAATTATGTTCACAAAAAAAGCAGAAATCTAATTTGACCAGTTTAGTTTAGTGAAATAGTTTTTAAACAATGTAATCAAATATCAGTTGGTATGGCCATGTAGCAGAATTATTCCAAAGAGCTTTACCATAAAAAACCAGAGAACCAGTAACAAGTCATTTCTGAGGGCTAGAAAAACGTGAAACACCACACATATGACATACAACAGAGCTCCTGCCAGATGTTTTGACCTGAGATTGAAAGAATCAAAGATGGAGAATGTAATTTGTGTGTGTTTATAACTACATATCAGATAAGGTGTTTTCATAATGGAGGTTGACTACAATAATGTCCAACACACTGTCTCCACATTAGAATTCAACTTGAGTTCACATTTCTAGATTTATTTTTTAGATTTGGGACTTTCCTGCATGTTTGTCTTCAATTTTTCCTAAGAAGCTTGTAGTTTTGTGCCAAAAATTTAAAAGAGTTGATCAAATCTGGTGATATTTGTTCCCGACAATTTAAAAGTTGTTCCATGAAATACCCACTATGTAACAGATGGAAGAACAGATTGTGTGTGTGTGTGTGTATACAAATACATTTTGTGCACAGATCATAAGAATTTTTCTGAAATAACTATCATTGACTAGGTTTCTGTCCTGATACTCTTAAGTTTCTGTTCAGTCACAACAGTCAGTTTCTGTTCAGTCACAACAGTCAGTTTCTGTCCAGTCACAACAGTCAGTTTCTGTCCAGTCACAACAGTCAGTTTCTGTCCAGTCACAACAGTCAGTTTCTGTCCAGTCAAAACAGTCAGTTTCTGTCCAGTCAAAACAGTCAGTTTCTGTCCGGTCCCAACAGTCAGTTTCTGTCCAGTCACAACAGTCAGTTTCTGCCCCATCCCAACGGTTAAGTTTCTGACCAGTCACCCAAGTCTAATTCCTCTCAAGCCACTCATTCCAGTTTCAGTCACCTCAGTCCCGTTTCTGTCCAGTCACTCCAGTCTAGTTTCTGCAGACACCCAAGCCCAGTTTCTGTTGGTGAACTAGTTTCTGCTGACACTCCGTCCAGATCACTACTTTACCGAGGTGGTGCAGCTCCACGTGAAGACTGTCCTCCAGTAGCCTGATTGGCATCTGGGAACAAAAATATTGCACATAACCATATAAATGGCATTTAGGGATTAAACCACGTCGGATACACTCAAAAACACCTGGTTGACTGAATACAAAAATATCCGTATGTGAGAAAAAAAACAGACCCTAAAAAGTAGGTCATAAGTAGGTCATAACTAATTAGGGGTTTCCTTCAAAGTCAGAGTGCCTCAATTGCAGAAGCATGGAACTGTCTGCATTAAAAAATCTACATCTGTAAAACACGTGAAGGCAAAACTCCAGAAATGTCTGGGACAAGAAACTCCAGAAATGTCTGGGACAAGAAACTCCAGAAATGTCTGGGACAAGAAACTCCAGAAATGTCTGGGACAAGAAACTCCAGAAATGTCTGGGACAAGAAACTCCAGAAATGTCTGGGACAAGAAACTCCAGAAATGTCTGGGACAAGAAACTCCAGAAATGTCTGGGACAAGAAACTCCAGAAATGTCTGGGACAAGAAACTCCAGAAATGTCTGGGACAAGAAACTCCAGAAATGTCTGGGACAAGAAACTCCAGAAATGTCTGGGACAAGAAACTCCCTAAAATGTCTGGGACAAGAAACTCCAGAAATGTCTGGGACAAGAAACTCCAGAAATGTCTGGGACAAGAAACTCCAGAAATGTCTGGGACAAGAAACTCCAGAAATGTCTGGGACAAGAAACTCCAGAAATGTCTGGACAAGAAACTCCAGGAATGTCTGGGACAAGAAACTCCAGAAATGTCTGGGACAAGAAACTCCAGAAATGTCTGGGACAAGAAACTCCAGAAATGTCTGGGACAAGAAACTCCAGAAATGTCTGGGACAAGAAACTCCAGAAATGTCTGGGACAAGAAACTCCAGAAATGTCTGGGACAAGAAACTCTAGAAATGTCTGGGACAAGAAACTAGAAATGTCTGGGACAAGAAACTCCAGAAATGGATTAACAACCTGAACCTTTCTTCTGCCAGAATTTACAGCCAGTGAATGCAAAGAAGGGTGGTTAAAATGCCGGGCCCTTGTGCAGGAGACCCATTTCCAGTAAGACAAGTTTTTTTTTTTTTTTTTAACCAAGGACACAAATGCCTGAACTAACCCTAGTTTGTGGTGACTGCTCTAGCGCCCACAATCCTCAGGCTCAAGATTCCCTTGCCCTATATAACCCTAAAAAGTACTACACAATAAAAGTAAAATCAGATATTTATTTTGTTGTTCACAAACGGTAATGAATATTATTTTCTATGCTGATAAAAGCGACAAAGTGTTTTTGTATGCGTGTTAATTTCTTGACAATTCTAAATAATTTATTTCACTGTAATGGCAGTTGCCCTTTTAAACAGGTTAATGACATTTGTGCCCACTTACATGCTTACTTTTAGAAATCCCTTGAAATTATCCATTTACTGCCCTCCCTAAGTCAGTCCCAGTTATTCAGATTCTTCCAGCGCCTTAGTACTATTATTTTAATTTCTCAGTTCCAGACTTTGATCTCTTAAAGTAAGAATGTTTTAAACAGAAGCTTGAAGTAATAATGTTTTAGAACAGAAGGAGTTACAGTGAGTCTGTTTAGTACTAAGAGAATTAAACTTAAATTTAAAAAGTTAAAAAAAAAAAAAGTGTCAAAGCATAGATTAATAAATTAAACCCATGTGTCATCTACACAGTACAGAATGGCTACACTGCAAACACCACGGTCTTTGCGAATATTACATAGTAAAGTTCCCCATCTCTTCCATGGTGCAACTCTCGTACTATTGTTAGAAAACCATTTTAAAAAAAAAAAAAATGAAAAAAACAACAACCTAACCATGGAAACTGAACTCTAGAATTTAAGGATCATTAAATTGGAAAATCCATTGACTAATCTCTATTAAACCAGATATTGCTAAATTAAATCTCAGTTTGGAACTCCATACATTTTTGGTACTCTAATAGACTGACAGATTGCTTGATTTATACTTCTTAATGACAACTTTTTGTCCCATTCAACAAACCATATGAACAGTAAATTAAACCCAGGTCAGGTCACAGGTATAAAGAATTAATGTGGGGGGGGGGGGGGGGGGGGGGGGTTGAGGGCTACAGTGGGGGAAGTTGGTTGAGAGCCTATGTAAGTTGGTTCAGCTACAGGGGGGGGAAGTTGGTTGAGAGCCAATGCTACAGCGGGGGAAGTTGGTTGAGAGCCTATGCTACAGCGGGGGAAGTTGGTTGAGAGCCAATGCTACAGCGGGGGAAGTTGGTTGAGAGCGAATGCTACAGCGGGGGAAGTTGGTTGAGAGCCTATGCTACAGTGGGGGAAGTTGGCTGAGAGCCTATGCTACAGTGGGGGAAGTTGGTTGAGAGCCTGTGCTACAGCAGGGGAAGTTGGTTGAGAGCCTGTGCTACAGTGGGGGAAGTTGGTTGAGAGCCTATGCTACAGCGGGGGAAGTTGGTTGAGAGCCTATGCTACAGCAGGGGCAGTTGGTTGAGAGCCTATGATAGTGGGGAAAGTTGGTTGAGAGCCTATGATACAGTGGGGAAAGTTGGTTGAGAGCCTATGATACAGTGGGGAAAGTTGGTTGAGAGCCTATGATACAGCGGAGGATAAAGGACAAGAATGAAAAATCCTCAAACAAGACGAAGCTTGCTCAAACTACCCGTGAAGCTACAGAACAAATATACATGACAGCTTATCAGTTACCAAACAAATATACATGACAGCTTATCAGTTACCAAACAAATATACATGACAGCTTATCAGTTACCAAACAAATATACATAACAGCTTATCAGTTACCAAACAAATATACATGACAGCTTATCAGTAACCAAACAAATATACATGACAGCTTATCCGTTACCAAACAAATATACATGACAGCTTATCAGTTATCAAACAAATATACATGACTGTCACGAAACGATCTCAGTGATTCCAGAAGTTAGTACTTGTAATAAGTTCTGGTTATTGAGAGACAAGAGACTATGCCCTTAAACCAAATGTTACTTTAAACCGTATTGATTTAAACGTTTCCAGTCCTTAGTCCAGACAAAGCGACTGAGTCTTGGGTAATGTTACGCAATTACACCGGGGCTAGAGAATTTCCTTTCACATGCCCATGTCATAAATGTTATCTCCTGACCACACTGTAGAGGCCAGCGAACGGGGAACTTAGCATCACACCTGAGCTGGACCGTAGGTCATAAAGATTACCTAACACGAATTGAGCGGACTCTAGACATAGAGGCGACGAGAGGTTTAAAGTTTAACACGTCAGTGTAATTCTGGAGAGAACAGGTGTTTGGCAATTAGGAATGTTTTATCTTGGTCAAGGTCGTACTGTAGGCCGTTCACTGTGAGTGACAGGTCACTGGTTAGCCAAGTTGATCTGATAATTACCTCAGAGGCGGGGCTTAAGTCATCATCTTGAGGGTTGGGTAGAACTAAGTAAAGGGAGGAGTTTAATTTGGACAATAGATTGATACTTACACTTCGAGCTTGGGAATTCCCGTCATTAATCGCAGCCTGCCGGCAAACAAACACAGGTCGACGTAAAAGTATTTTACGGTCGGGTTCTGTTTTGGCGATTGATGGAAAGTTCCCAGGTGAATATTAATTTTAATCTTGTATACATAGGTTAGGGAGTTAAGCTTAGTCTATACTACCTTTTCCTAATTTGTCTGCACATTCTGCTTGAAATAGTTCTTTGTGAGTATTCAGTATCTCAGTTAGGGAACTGCTAAACTATTCCTATTTCTTGTATGTTTGTGTCACATGTTTTTCAGTGTATGTTTTCATGTGTATAAAATAAGATGTGAACAATGATATTTGCTATAATGAAATGTAATTATATTGTTTCCATGATCAGCCAAAATATGAGTTTGGACTGTGGGAAATCATGCCCAAATATGTGCAGGGATGCTGCTACGTTTTGTGTGCCCACCATGTGCTCACTTAATGTGTTCACCTAAACAGGGGATTTATAACCCCAGGGGAAGAATGATGGGTGTACAGTATTCACGGTCACTGAAAGAATATTCAGGACAGCGTGCACATTTAAATTGAGTTTTCAGCACATAACCTGCTCCACGTGGTCATGTAATATCAATGTCAGCCAGTTGTTGGAAGTCTGAGTGATGACGGACAACAGACTTAGAAAGTCAACTATCATGACATAGCATTGGAGGGAAGGCAGGATATGTGACGCCCATGTAAGACAAAAGACCTTCAGACTAGACTGGAGAGGATGTGGAATATGAGGAGGAGTGATGGGATATATTTTATTATTATATGTTACAATAATTGATACATGTATTCTTAGTGTAAGTCAAGATACTACACGTATGTGTTTCGTTTCCATGATTACAGCGCCCATGTGACGATCAGTCCATGAAAGAGACTACATTGTGTTAGACTCGGCCAGCTGGGAACGAGGTGGAGAACCAGGTGGAGAACGAGATGGGGATGAAGTGGAGAATAAGCTGAAACAGGCAGAAAACAGGCAAGGAAGAGTTGGACAAGCTTGACAGTTCCTCACGGCTGTCAGAGGCTTATAAGCTAAGTTAACAAATTTTGACTTAACCTACCACCATCATCATACCACTCTAAACCCCGGAGCTGTTTTCTCGCTGAAGCGTACCACTATAATTACTATAACTGTAGCCAGTCACTGTTTGGGTAAATCAACAAACTTGGAAGTTCATTTTAGTAAATAAAGCTGTATGTCAAGTTTTATCCTGCATCAGTTTTTGTAATTCCAAATGTCTGTTCTTACATGTTTAATTAAACTGTTAAGATAGAATACCATTTGGTGGTGGCTCAATTAATATAATAATTCTTCAATTTTTCATAATAACACCGGGAGAAGGTAGATGACGGAGGAATCACTTGCCCTGTCTAATAATTCATTTAGTATAATGATAGACATCTAAAATTCCTTTCTTTCTCTTGTGGGTACCAAGTTCAGCTAATGTTAATGTACTTAACGAGCCAATATGGCTGTTTTCTTGGATATCCAGGACTTTGAGAGCAACATAGCTCAGATTTTAGTTCGGTTAATCTGGTGGAGGGAATGAGTTGAGAGGAACATCCCTACTCAACATTATAAACATTTAAACCACGCTTCACGTCACAGTGACAGCTTATCAGTTACCAAACAAATATACATGACAGCTTATCAGTTACCGACAGCTTATCAGTTACCAAACAAATATACATGACAGCTTATCAGTTACCAAACAAATATACATGACAGCTTATCAGTTCCCAAACAAATATACACGACAGCTTATCAGTTCCCAAACAAATATACATGACAGCTTATCAGTTACCAAACAAATATACATGACAGCTTATCAGTTTCCAAACAAATATACATGACAGCTTATCAGTTTCCAAACAAATATACATGACAGCTTATCAGTTTCCAAACAAATATACATGACAGCTTATCAGTTTCCAAACAAATATACATGACAGCTTATCAGTTACCAAACAAATATACATGACAGCTTATCAGTTACCAAACAAATATACATGACAGCTTATCAGCTACCAAACAAATATACATGACAGCTTATCAGCTACCAAACAAATATACATGATAGCTTATCAGTTACCAAACAAATATACATGACAGCTTATCAGTTCCCAAACAAATATACATGACAGCTTATCAGTTACCAAACAAATATAAATGACAGCTTATCAGTTACCAAACAAATATACATGACAGCTTATCAGTTCCCAAACAAATATACATGACAGCTTATCAGGTACCAAACAAATATACATCACAGCTTATCAGTTACCGACAGCTTATCAGTTACCAAACAAATATACATGACAGCTTATCAGTTACCAAACAAATATACATCACAGCTTATCAGTTACCAAACAAATATACATGACAGCTTATCAGTTACCAGTCTCAGGTATACCAGACTCGGTCTGCCACATTTCATCAACATCTTTTCGGAGCTCCTCTAGCATCCTTTGTAAGACCTTGCTTTGATCATCAAAAGCAGCAATTCTGGCTGCAATTATCTGGTAACAGATAGTTAAGGTTAGTTGCGTATCCTTTACAGGACGTTGCAGAACCAACCCCAACAGCCCCTGGCTGTTGTGTGGTTTTTCTAGGCAAATTTATGTCCTGTAGATTGACATTGCTACTGGACGGTCGGCTTTCTTGATACCAGGAAAGATCCAGAAAATCATTTAGTCAGCCTTGCCAAGGCAAATCTTTGACCAAAATATAACAGATATTGCGTTCATAACTTTGTATGATCCCAGAATTTTGTTATAATATGATCCTAGGTGGGGGGGTGGGGGGGGGGGGGGGGGACAAACAAATCAAGAGTGAAGCTTTTACAGCTGAATGTTAAATGATTGTTGAATTAGGAATCATCACAGCACTCAGGACACTCCCATAAGTGCTTCATCCCCATCTTCAGCAGCAAGCAAAGAGTTACAACTCTGATGGCACCAGTAACAGTCTGATTGTATATCCGCCTCTTCCCCTCCCTGAGTGTTGAGCGTCGGCCAGATCCCCTGATAACTCCTCGCAGTGCCATTCTTCTCAGACCATAATGATTTATACAGTTTAGTAGTCAAGTAAAAGGTGACATTAGGGGGTTTTTCATTCAGTGAGAATCACTCATCCGTCTGAGAGGTAAGCAGCCAACAGTCTGCATAAAATTAAACCAGATTTCTAAACCATGTGCACAACTGATTTTTTGAAACAAAACAAAAGTCAAAAATTGGACAAACAGACGGAACTTTTCTCTAGAGTTTACAGTCTGTAAATGCTAAGAACATACAGAAAGCCAAGAGAAAACCATCATATTAATTACTTTTTTTTTTTAACATGGGTATGTTACAAATCTGATGTGGGAAAAATATATAATAAAATGCATACTATCATTAAGACTGTAAAAGCTGACATTCTCGCAAAATAAAATTTGTTTTGTTAATACTCAACATACCATTTCTTCACATCTGCGATGGGCCATGACCAGTTCAGACTCAGCACCTGCGACGGGATCAACACTGTGTTCCTGTATTGCATTCAACATCTCTCTCTGCTGCATGCGTACAATCTGTTGTGAGAATCAGAGGGACCAACACTTCAGTAAACGAATGATTTTTTTTTGCTTTGTGTGAGTTTAAAGGTGCATGTGTCTGTGTGTGTGTGATTGTGTATGTGTGTGACTGGGTTTTAAAATGTTAAAATGATTACCAGTGCATTATGTGTGTGCATGCATAACAACTTGCAACTGTCATCACTCGAGGCACAATTGTGCATAGGCATGCATGCATAAGCAAGATTTGTTTATATTTCTACTTCCTTATATGCATAAAAAATTCATTTTTTTGACTCAGCACATAAAGACAGCACATAAACACAAGTAAACCATACTGGAACAAAGCATGACATGAAAAAATAGTTTTTAACTTTGAGGAGGAACAAGTAAAAAATAAAAATTTAAAAAAGGCATGCTAATACCTTAAGCGTACCACAAGTCCGATTTACAGACATGTTTGGCATCACTGAAATATTTTACTTAATGAAATGGGAGCACACTTGGAGGACTTGCCAGGTTGTTATAGAGGGCTGGGCTCTCATGCAGGTGACAGGTTTAATCCTCAATGATGGAGACTGACTCGAAGGCATTTTACAGAAGATCAAGGCAGGGTATATACAAAGACTGGATCCATCTGGCACCACACAGCGATTCGCTAAATCATTTCTGTCCCAGGTCATGCTGGTATGAAAGATGAGGGAGCAGACATCCGGGCTGGCAGTACGACTATCAAGAATGGGTTGTCTATGGACAGGCGACAAATCATTATCTAAGAGAAAATGCTCAAGGCTTTCAGTTGTGGAAATTGACTTAACTGAACAGAGCACATACCCTTGGTTTAAGTAGGATCAGTGAGACAAGAAAACCATGTAGAAGCCACCCGTCGTAAAAGAATTGGAGTGGAAACCACTGTGGAGTTCCTGGAAATGAAACAGGTGATAAACCAGCTAAAGAAGGTGCAAATGAAGAATCTGTGATGCATGAGTCTAACAAAAGAAGAGAATAATCAAATCAATCCAAAAACTATGTGCATGCACAACTGATATTTTGAAACAAAACAAAAGACAAAAATTGGACAAACAGCCGGAACTTCTCTAGAGTTTACAGTCTGTAAATGCTAAGAACATACAGAAAGCCAAGGAAAACCATCACATTACCTTCAAAACCGGACAAGACGATTACCATTTTATGGACAGACCAGGGAAATTTTTTTTTTCTACACCTTAGAACAGGACACGGTCAACTTCGCAGCAAAAAATTGACAAATCAGCCATGTGCACATGTGGACTGGCACCTGAGACAACAGATCATGCCCTCCAAAAACTTTTGACCAAAAAGAAACATCGGTGAAATTCAAACTATGGGTAGCTGAGTGAATTACAAAAGACAGTGAAGTTCATACTAGAGACAACATTGCAGATATAGATAATTTCAAGCAAACGAAAGAAGGAGTTGAGAACATAAAAGCCCTGAGACACTCAGGAGGAGATCAGAGCACTTAAAAGTCATGTCCAACATGCGATGAAGATTATCTTTAAATGGACAATGAACAATAATGATGGAGGTTTGTTTGGGCAACAATGTCAACTTTATTCGTTTATGGCGAATGCACTGGCTAGCAGTGTGGCCTTAAAACCTCAGGCTCCTGACAACCTCTGGAGAGCTTGCATCTTTCCTGTAGAAAACATACAGATGATAGTAGAGGACTATCTTGTCACTGAAGAAAATAGGGGCCTTTGAGTTGAAATGCTATAGCATTTCTCAGAATACCATGGAGCAAGAAGAATTAGCTAGTAAACCTTGTATTGTCAGACATTGCAAATATTCCCATAATTAAGGTCTGTCCAAGGAAGCCTTTTTCAATCACCATTGAAAACAAAAAAAAAAAAAAAAATACTAAACAGCAAGAAATTATTTGAAACAAATCTCACTGGCGGAAACACTGCCCAATGATCTACCTACCGTCATGAGTCTGTTTTCAATCAGTGCTGCAGTCTTTCCCTTCAGTTGTGCTTCTTTAACTGAATTTTCAACACACAATTTAGAATACAGAAATTTCATCTTGCTTGTTTCAGCCTTGGCAACATCCAATTCCTGTCTGATTTAGAGAAACAATATGATTTACTAATAAATTACTCTGAGGGCAGATAGTTCAGATGTATAGCAGCAAAAACTCCAAAATAGTCACTGAGAGGAAGTAACTATGGCCAGATAAAGGTACAAATATACACAAAATGTCAGGTGATAAATATCTTACTTTAGATATACATGATTGAATTAAATTAAATACAGCACTAAGTCTTATGTATAATAACCGGCATGCCAAGAGGATCAGTTGAAGTATTCGAAGTGGCAATGGGAGTTAACTCCCTGAAGCTTAGAAGTAGTTAAAAATCTGACAGAACTCATCCAGCAAACAACTTTCAACAAACCACACAGCTTAGCTGAAAACTTAATACAGACTAAAGATAAGGTAACAATGACATGTAATAGATTGTTAGAAGTGAACAATTCTGAAACCTACAATAAGATTTTATCTAGATTTAAAAAATACACCTCCGTTGTCCTGCCATGGGAAATTGTAAGACCAGAAACCGACTATCAACTAGCTGCTGTTAAAAAGAAGAAAATACCATAAATTGTAGAAAGCCTGTCCCCTTGTGGGATGCAATTTTGTTATTTGAAGCACCACCCTGAATATAGCCAGGGCATAGATATGGGTGATCCTCCTCTGCATGGTGGCACTTTGTGTCACTGGGTGTTTATCGCTTGTGTGATGTTCTAGTGGGGTACAACTACCTACCTACCTAAATTTTGAGAAGAAATTTTGAGCGAAGAAGCCAATAGCCACATACAACACAGATCCAAAGACAGTCTAGTCTATACAGATGTTTTGAAAGAAAATGACAGATTAGGAATAGGAAAATACATCTAAAAATTGAAAAAAAAAAAAAAAAAAAAAAAAAAAAAAAAAATAGCACAGACAAGCACAATTTCAATATTGGTTGTTCTGGAGGCACTAGAAATGGTTTATAAGTCCCCAAAAGATTGACTGTTTTAACGGACTCATTTACAGTAAAGGCTCTTAAAAATACTAGGATATGTAGGAGAAATGACACCACAATTTATCTAAAAACAAGAGGATGCTCAGTACTAATTATGTGGGTACTAGCTCATGTGCGAATTAGAGAAAAAATAAGAGACAAGTTAAAAAAAGCAGAATAAATAAAATACATGTAGCTAAATGTAAGGATTTTAAATCATTAAAACAGAAGAAGGGACAGGGATGTGAAATGGAAGCTTATGTAAAAGGGAAGGCATACCTACAAATTATTGAAGCCACATACTAGAAAATGTCAAATAAGGAAAACAAATACCTTGCAATAAGAAATTCCTAAGACGGCAACTTGGAGTGGCTGACTTATTTCACTATAACAGAAGATCTGTTTTGCATGTCATTTACATAATGATACTGAACACTACTTGCTATACTGCAAGAAATGTTCACCCCAAAGGACTTCCCTTTATGAATATATGGTTTGCTGCAGCCTTCGGCAAAAGAACTGATGGTTCTAGAGAAATACAGGAAAGGATTAAACAGTATATCACTAGAACATGGGTTGAAATATGAGATAATATATCTGTAGACAGAATAATAGTACCCCAGATTTAATTTATCCACAAAGAGAGACTACACAATATAATGACTAATTTTTCAAAAAGTATATTTAAAACATACTGAATGTGACAACCTATACACCTACAATATTATATAATTAATACATAAGCTATGCAAAATTACATAACCAAACATAACTAGTAGGCATAAAAAAAAAGCCATTATTGGAATAGGTACACACACACACAAAACTATATATCCCAGTTATAACCCAGATGTCTTGAACAGGATATTTAAATTACTCACCACTAAAGACCGGTGTTGCAGATGTTATACTGGAAGTAACTCAGTAACCGGTATGGTAAAGTAAAGAAGGCCTCACGAGTAACTAACTACAGAAGACCACATATGCAGATGGCTAGATGTATAAATCAACACACAGGCAAATGGCTTTATGTGCAGTTTCTAGATATATAAATTACTACTAGATATGCAGATGTCTAGATATATAAATCACCAGACATGCAGATGGCTAGATATATAAATCACCAGACATGCAGATGGCTTGATATTTAAATCACTAGACATGCAGATGGCTAGATATATAAATTACTAGACATGCAGATGGCTAGATATATAAAATACTAGACATGCAGTTGGCTAGATATATATAAATTACTAGGCATGCAGATGGCTAGATATATAAATTACTAGACATGCAGATGGCTAGATATATAAATTACTAGACATGCAGATGGCTAGATATATAAATACTAGACATACAGATGGCTAGATATATAAATACTAGACATACAGATGGCTAATATAAATTACTAGACATGAAAATGGCTAGATATATAAATTACTAGACACAAATGGCTATATATATAAATTACTAGACATACAAATGGCTAGATATATAAATTACTAGACATACAGATGGCTAGATATATAAATTACTAGACATGCAGATGGCTAGATATATAAATTACTATACATACAGATGGCTAGATATGTAAATTACTAGACATGCAGATGGCTAGCTAAATGCTAGGTAAACTACTACAAATGCAGATGGCTTTATGTGCAGTTTCTAGATTTACAAATTACATGACATAGATGGCTAGATATATAAATTGCTAGACATAAAGATGACTAGATATCAATTACTAGACTGATGGCTGATATAAAATTTACTAGACGTACAGAGGGCTAAATGAATAAACTACTAGATACGCAGATGGCTAGGTATATAAATTACTAGATGTACAGATTGGCTAGATACATAAACTACTAGACATACAGATGGCTAGATATTTAAATTACTAGATGTACTAATGGCTAGATACATAAATCACTATATATGTAGATGGTTTAATATAAAAATTACGAGTTATGCTGAAAGCTAGATATTTAAATTACTAGATGTGCAGATATTAAGAATTTGGAAGCAACAGAGATGTGGTTTCTGAGATTAATGTTACAAATACCTTGGACAGCCAGAGTAACTAACAAGGATTGTTTGAAAGAAGCTAAAGAAAGTAGATCTCTGTATACAACAATTATGAGGAGACAAACACTGTTCTTCGGCCATGTAATGAGAAGAGGTGTTGGAGAACGTTACACCTGGAAAGATCAGTGGAAAGAGGTGTAGAGGCAACAGAGAGATGATGCTGCATGGGCTAAAACGATGGCAGTGAGGGATATCATCAAGAGAGCAGTCCAGGCAACCAGGAACGTGTTTTATGGAGATGCATGAGCGCCTATGCCAGATGGCCAGACATATGATAATGAGATGTGCAGATAGCTAGATATATAAATTACTAGATGTGCAGATGGCTATATATATATAAATTACTAGACATGCAGATAGCCAGATGCCTATGGCTGGATGTTCCAGACATGCAGACAGCTAGATGCACAAAGGGACAAGACACGCCGATCTTTAGAGAAATTAATTACATGCTTGAACAGATAAACTGAACATGGCCATTTGGCTCGGGTGTTTGACAAGGTTAAGACAACAATGCAGAACAGAAATATGGGCAGACAACAATAGCTAATTTAATTTAGACAAGTGTTAAAAATTAGAACAAGTAAACTCCCTAACAGGGTTCCAGGGCCCCAAGGTGGGGAAATTAGGAATAGACCCACTGCCTTCCCCAACAAGAATGTGGTAAGATTTGACTAATTTGGGGCTTCCTTCAAAGTCAGAGTGCATCTGTCAGAGGAGGAACCAAAAGTCTGCATACAATTAAGTTAGATCTGTTAAACGGATGTGCATGCAACACTCAGGTTCTGGAACAAAGACTAAAGTCCAGAGATGGACAAACAACCAGAACTTTCTGACCAAAGTTTACATCCAGTGAACGCGAAGAAGAAAAAGTAACAAGTTTCTCCTATCTAGGACACATAGTAACAGATGATGGCAGAAGTGAAACAGAAATCAGATAACAGAAATGGCTAAAACTACCTTCAATATGATGGACAAATTACTGACAGCTAGACAGAAAAACATTAAAAATGAGAATCATCAAAGTTATGCATACTCAATCCTGCTATATGGTGCAGAAACTTAGACAATGACAATTAGACAATGAACAAAATTAGAAAAATGAATTCTGGAAAAATGGATAGACAGAAGAATAGGTTGTATTTCCCAGAAGTAAAAAAACAAGTCCCAAATAGAGGTTCTGGAAAGACGAATGAAAAGAATTACTGAATGACAAAAAAAAAACTGAAAATAGTTTGGCCACATTAAGAAATAAAACGCTGTTAAAAACCATACTGGAGGGAAAGTTGAGGCAAGAGGTAGGCAATGATAAAAGTAGGAGAACAAAAGGTGGATGAAACAGCAGTCAGAGACAGTGTACAACCAGGACAAGAGATGCAGCATATTGGAGATCCACTGCAGCCAACCTTCACTGTGAAGATGACACCTAACTGGCCGATTAAAATGTTCAGACAACAATGCAGAACATCTGACTGATGCAGAAAGACAGACAGATGATGAGACACAAAAATTTAACTGGACTCACTTGTGATTATCAGTTAACTGTCTTAGCTGCTCCTCAAAAGCTGTCTTGCAACTGTCAACAGCAGAACGTTTTTCCTCTTCAAATTTGTTTTGGAGAGAAGAAATATGTCCAGTCAGGTTAGCAATGACTTCATCTTGTCTGGCCTTTCCCTCCTGCAAAATCTTGATGGCTTCTTTGTAGCACTGAACACAAAAACCAATGTCAGGTCAACGCAGTGATAATGTAAGCACCAACATCCATGATTATTTCAAATTGCAGTGATAATGTAAGCACCAACATCCATGATTATTTCAAATTGCAGTGATAATGTAAGCACCAACATCCATGATTATTTCAAATTGCAGTGATAATGTAAGCACCAACATCCATGATTATTTCAAATTGCAGTGATAATGTAAGCACCAACATCCATGATTATTTCAAATTGTATGTACCAAGATCAGGTAGACAGCAAAATTTAAAGTTCCAATTTCTAGGTTAAAGCTTCAATCATCTTCATCACTTGCCTTGCCGACTGGCATGGGCGATCATGCCTCTCCACAATCTGCTATCAGCTGCATGTATCAGTTCATCTGTTGACACCCCTCTAAGCCAAGCCATGACAAAAAGCTATCAAGAAACTACTGGTACAGTATTCCTCTGTCTGTCTTTCCATTGGTCACATATTCCATTTTCCCTCTTCTCATAACATGACCAAAAAATGATGACTCTAATTGTGATAAGTTGTCTCCAAGCACTTGCCTCTTTCAAACATATGTGTTGCTCTTTTTTGGGCTCTTTTTTGGCTGTCCAAGGAATTCTAAGGATTCTTCTGTAAAACCACATCTTCGAGGCCTCAAGATACTGTTCAGCTTTATTAATTGTCCAGGATTTACAGCTGTATGTTAAAACTAGCTCTATATAGCATGCAAGAATTTTTTTCCTAACCTCCAATGATTTGGATTTATTGCATAAAATGTTCATTTAATAAAATGCAGTTTTGGCTTGTCCTATTCTATTCTTTATTTCTGATACATCTTCCATCGGATGTTATTGATGTGCATAGATATCTGAATTTCTGTATTTGTCCTAAAATAACATCCTAGACTTTTATTATACATTTGGCACTATTCTTTTCTTGGAAATCACTAATACTTCTGTCTTCCCATTATTCAAACTGAGGTCCATTTTATCACTATCTGCCACCACTGTATCTATAAACTCCTGTAGTTCTTTATGACTTGTTGCTATCAAGACTGTTATCAGCATAATGTAGGTTGTTTATGTTATGACCACCAACCACAGTTCCTGGCAAATCTATGATAGATTTCATTATATATTCATGTATAACATACCAGGTGATAGTACACACATCCTTGTCCGACTTCCCTTTTTATGCTCTAAAACGTTCCCAAATTATTAATTCTTAAAGCTGCGGTTTGCTGCCAATACATGTTCTTTATAGTTCGTAAATCTTTTCCAATGTTCAGCTTTTCTAATAGTTTCATTTTGTCTTCATGTTTCACAGTCAAAAGCTTTCATATATTCGATTAAGTAAAGATAATTTTTTCTTTTAAAACCTCTATAGCTCTTTCCAAATAGTCCTGAGGATGTAAATGGCATTATTTATACTTTTTCCTTTTACAAATCCACTTTGTTCTTCACTAATTTCTGTCTAGTCTTGTTTCTTATTTTTCTCATAATTATTCTCAGTAACAAATTTGTCACATGGCTCATTAGACGTAAGGTGCGATAGTCTTCACATTTTAAAGTACCTAGTTTCTTTGACAAAGCAATACAAATAGATTTTAAAAGGTCATTAGGAATGTACCCACTATTATAAATGTCATTTAACAATTTTGTTAATTCCAAAATATCCTAAAGCCTCAATTTCTTCCAGTGCGATGTCTGACCCAGGTGCCTTCCTTTTTCTTCATGTGATGCAATGCATCCTCAACGCAATGCATCCTCAACTTCTGAAGCCAGTATTGATGGGTCTTTGCTGTTGTCTTGCAAATATTTTTCTAGACTATTGTTATCATAAAGATCCTCTAAGTACTCTGTCCATCTTTTAATTATATCACCTTGCCTCAATTTTTCACCATTTTTCGATTTTAAACTCCCATTGATGCTACTTTTCTTCCCTGTCAATATACTTATCAGTGCATGGAATGCAAGACTTTCCCAAGATTTTTTCCTAATCCATGCACATCTGATTCAGCCAGGCTTCTTTCTTTAGCCTCTGCATCTGTTCACTATTTATGTATACCAAAATGAACCAATACTGAAAGTTAACATAATTTGCATGCACCCCTATTTAGTAGACTTACGACACGCTTGTTAAAAAGACAGTGGGTCTTCTTTGTCCCCCAGATGGGACCCTGAAATCCACAAGGGAACAACAGTCATATTCTAACAATTCAGAGTAAATGAGGTCACACAAACAATGTTTCATCAAGGTTATAAAATTAATAATCTTTTTCCCTGTGGCTTCATTTTTAGAGAAAGAGAACAGAGCCACTGCAGGTGGCTAGCTAACAACAAATGATCTTGTATGGTTGAATTCCCTCAATAAAAAAAAAACAAAATTATTCAAACTGGAGTCAGTTACTCCGTGCCAAAAGAAATATTTAAGTTTCATCATGCACAAAAATAATACCTCGTTTTCATCAAAGATTTCATGCATCTCTGTGCGAACTCTTTCTATGTCATCCTTATGTTGGCCCATTACCTCAATCGCATGCTGAAACAGACCGACAAGTGTAAGGAAGATCTTAAAAACAGGTATTGTGATATGTCCTAAGTAAATGGAGCAAAATAATGTTTACCACATCACTTGAGCACTGGCTGAATGATGAGATGCTGGCTGAATGAGGAGATGCTGGCTGAATGATGAGATGCTGGCTGAATTGTTAAGAACACTGGGATCCAAGTTTCAAATCCTCAGTGAACTGCAGATTTTTTCTGTCAAAGGCAAAAATAAAATCAATCTGCAGTTGGTCTCGACAGTACTAGCCTTGTGGCCCCTCAGGCAAATCACTCCAGACTTTGAAGAAACACCCCAATTAGTCAACCTGGATGATGTGCTAATTAAGAGGAAACCAACAGTCTGCATACAAATAAGCCATATCTGAATAATGAATGCCAATGTAAAACTCAAGCTCCAGAACAAGACTGAAGCCAAGGACCAGATTAAAAAACCAGAACTTTTCGTCGAAGTTTACAGTTGTTGAAAAAACCAGTGCTCACATCCGAGTTAATTGACATAGCTTTCAGAACATCATACAACTGCTCCACCCTTATCTTTAGCAGGTTATGGGTGCCCTAGTTACAGCATTTGCCCTAGTTACAGCATTTGCCCTAGTTACAGCATTTGCCCTAGTTACAGCATTTGGAGGTTTAAAGGAGTATCTGGGATTTGCCCATTTGATCTGCCATCCAGATTAAGATTTTGTAACCTCAGGGTGTCAAACATCAGATAGCAGCAAATAATGGAAAAACTTAAGACTAATTGCTTCACCTCCATAATCAGCAGACCTTGTCTATGTCTTCCCTGTCCAATAAGATTTATTTTTCTGATATATCTGGGACACTCCTCTGTAACTATATTTACTTCTTGAAACATAACATTTAGCCTTTCCAGGGCAAGACCTCTTTGCCTGGTCTGACTAGAATTTCAGTAACCCACTAACATGCTTGAATTCCAGGCACACCATTTCTTGTCTGACTCTCCTGGCTCCCACCATCCAATTTCATTCTTCTCTCTCCATTTCCTTTTCTCTTCACCTTCTCAGTTGTTAGCTGAAGATAATAGTGAGCACAAAGCATGCATTCTTCTTCCTTCTTTGTTCACTGGCCGTAGGCTCCAGCAGAAAGTCCTGGCTGTTCGTCCATTTAGACTTGGTCTTTGTGCCAGGGCCAAGATTTGCATGTACATTTATTTTACTGGCTTATTTGTGTGCTGCCGGTTGTTCCCTGCCGCCCGGGCAGATGCACTTCAACTTCTAAAAGAAGCTCCCAAATAGCCGACTCTTACAAACTTTTTTTTGTGGGGGTGGTAGGCAGGGTATATTCTTGCTATCCCCATAACAGGGCACAGGAATGCATAACTGGAACAGTATAGCAGAGAGAAAGCGAGAGAGAGATAACATGTGAAGCACTTACCTGCAGATCCTCACTAAGTACTTTTGAGTCATTAATCACAGTGGTTGTGGCTATCTTTTCTTCTTTCAAAACAGCGAGCTCTTTTAATTGTGAAAACATTTCATCCCCTCTAATTCTGTTGTTGCCTAAGCATCTGGCTAATTCTGATCTCAGGGAAGCTATGAGCTCGTCTGAAGACTGAGTTCCTTCTTGACTGCTAGGATAAAAAAAACAAAAAAAAAAACAGTAAATCATTGTCAATACAGTATATTCCTTACTGACACATTCTTACATATGTTATCTAACCTCACATCTATCAGCATTCATTCATAAAAAGTCTATATAATGTCTCTTGACCAGTATCAGAGTTCTGTAGCTATCGCTTTTGTAGCCAGAAAATCTGCTCTTTCACTGACTCACACTCCTGCATATTCTGAACAGTACATACACATACAGTACATACACATACAGTACATACACATACAGTACATACACATACAGTACATACACATACAGTACATACACATACAGTACATACACATACAGTACATACACATACAGTACATACACATACAGTACATACACATACAGTACATACACATACAGTACATACACATACAGTACATACCACATACAGTACATACACATACAGTACATACACATACAGTACATACACATACAGTACATACACATACAGTACATACACATACAGTACATACACATACAGTACATACACATACAGTACATACACATACAGTACATACACATACAGTACATACACATACAGTACATACACATACAGTACATACACATACAGTACATACACATACAGTACATACACATACAGTATACACACATACAGTATACACACATACAGTATACACACATACAGTATACACACATACAGTATACACACATACAGTATACACACATACAGTATACACACATACAGTATATACACATACAGTATATACACATACAGTATATACACATGAGTCCCTGTAATGTTCACTTGCTGATGCTTGGTATCCACTTATGTCCAATGAGTTGACTAATTAGAAATTAGTTTCAAAGTCAGAATCCATCTGCCTGACAAGTAAGGAACCAAAAAGTTGTGTAAAAATAAGCCAGATGTGTAAAACGGAAATGCATGCAAAACAAGTTCTGGAACAAGACTTAAGTCCAGAAGTGGACAAACAACCAGAACTTTCTGCCGGCGTTTACAGATGGAGAGTTCTTAACTCTGAGTTCCAAGGGGTTTAGGATCACAGGCCCAAGAGGTAGTCAAGAGAGAGATAATCGACACATGTGTTCACTGGGCCTCTAGGTAGGAATCAATGGGACTCAAGTTAAGGTGAAAAATCTCGTGCCCCATTCACCTGTTAACCAACACTGGCCCAGTTTTCAAAACTCTTCTGCCTCATTGTGTCATTTAAACTCCTTAGACTTAAATCTATTAAAGCAATAACTTAAAGTTGAAGTTACAACTGGCTGGGACTTGAAGAGTCAGTAAATGAACCATGACAGAAAAGTATAATGCTTCCCAGAAAAGGAGCCATGACAGAACTACCATGCTTGCCAGAAAAGAAGCAATGACAACAGTAACTACCATGCTTGCCAGAAAAGGAGCCATGATGGAACAGTAACTACCATGCTTACCAGAAAAGGAGCCATGATAGAAAAGTAACTACCATGGTTGCCAGAAAAGGAGCCAAGATAGAAAACTACCATGGTTGCCAGAAAAGGAGCCATGACAGAACAGTAACTACCATGCTTACCCAAATGAACCATGGTGAACAGTAACTACCATGTTTGCCCGAAAGGAGCCATGATAGAATAGTAACTACCATGCTTGCATGGGATAGGACATCTTGGCATTAGCTGAGGACCTATGCTCCACTGGGGAGGAAAGGGGGGTGGGTTTAAGGAAAACTAATAAAAGGATCTCAAGCAAAACAACATTTACCAGGAAAATATATATGAGACCTGACAATTTAAACCATAGAATATAGTAACGAAGCTAACAAAAAGTTCTAAGACCCTGAAATACAAGAGAAGTTAATACATTACATATTTAATTGCATATGTTTAATTTTATGATAGTAATAGAGTTAAGGAAAAAAGACTATAAAAGAGGATGACTATGAACAACAGTCAGTTTTCCCGATACATCTACAATGGAATATGTAGCCTTTTTTAATGACACTTTAGGAACGCTCAGATATTTCAAAGGATCTATAAAGATGATGAAGCTATCTGATCAGTACAGAAGACACACACACAGACACAAAAAGAAAGGACATTAACAATTATCTCTAACCTAGCAACTGCAATGGCTTCACTAGAAGAGGGCTTGTCCTTGGGCTGTGATACAAGTGTCCCAAGTTGTGGCGACAATTTAAACATGTCTATCTGTTCCCTCAATTTCTGGACTTCATTCTGTAATCAGAAATTTGGTATCTAATTTTGCTAAAAAAGAACAATGTGAACTTTAAATATATTATGTATCATTCTATAACTATGTTGAAATATCACTTAACTGAGTATGCAACAACAATTTTTATAATGAAAATAATGTAGAAAGATTGTTCACCCAGAGAATTAAAAAAATAAAAGCAAACTATTGCAGTGCAAATCCATATCAAAATAATCCCAGATCAAGCTGGTGAATGTCATTCTCATATTTGAAATCAATGTGTCCAAATAAGGAAATTGTGTATTTAAATTCTGAAACAATGAAAATTTGTTTAGTGTTTTCAGACAAGAGATGTACATTATTAGACACCAGGCAAGAAATGCATATATAAACTAAACTAAACTTTAAATATCTAGCAACAGCCATAAATTATCTTTAGACATATCTGGCAAGAGAAGCATATACAAATTATATTTAGACATCTAGCAAGAGATACACGTATAAAGTATCTTTAGACATCTAGCAAGAGATGCACATATCTTTAGACAGTGATTTTGTGTATTTCTGTTGGTTTTATTTGATTAATGTATGTGCTGATGAAGGTTCCATAGCTGCAACATTCTCGTTTTGTTTGTGTTTGTTATACTGTGAAGCTTGCTGATATACTCTTCGTTTAATTTTATATCTTTTCTTATTATCTTTAGACATACCTAGCAACAGAGCCACATTTAAATTATCTTAAGACATCTAGAAAGAGTTGCAAATATATCTTTTAGACACACCTAGCAACAGAGCCACACATAAATTAATTATAAACAACATCATTCAGCCACATAGAAACTATAGACATATCTAGCAAGAGCCACACATAAATTATCTTTAGACATCTAGCAAGAAAGCCACATAAATTATCTTTAGACATCGAGCAGCAGATGCACATATAAACTTTTTAGATATCTAGCAAGAAAGCTGCAAATAAATTTTCTTTAGATACATCTAGCAACAGAGCCACATAAAATAGACATCTAGCAGCAGATGCACACATAAACTATCTTTAGACACATCTATCAAATCAGCCACACATAAATTATCTTTAGATACACACAGCAAGACAGCCACAAATAAATTATCTTTAGATACACACAGCAAGACAGCCACAAATAAATCTTTAGATACACACAGCAAGACAGCCCCACATTATCTTTAGATACACACAGCAAGACAGCCACAAATAAATCTTTAGATACACACAGCAAGACAGCCACAAATAAATTATCTTTAGATACACACAGTAAGACAGCCACAAATAAATTAGATACACACAGCAAGACAGCCACAAATAAATTATCTTTAGATACACACAGCAAGACAGCCACAAATAAATCTTTAGATACACACAGCAAGACAGCAACACATACATTTTCTTTAGACACACAAGACAGTCACAAATAAATTATCGTTAGACATATTTAACAGGTTATGCAGACATAAAATTACCATTCTACCTATCAGACAGGTGATATACATATACCTGTATAGACACACTTGATATGATGCACACAAAAAAATCTTTAGACATCTGGTGCAGAGGTGCTAGAATCTGCGAGCTCTAGCACACAGTATTCTTTTTCCGCCCCTACCCCCAGCAAAAATGTGCATAGTGTCTTAATCCCAATAACAATGTATGGAAGCTTATTTTAAGTATGTGTCTACATTGATTTTAAGTTTGTGTTTAATTTGTTTATATTTATTTTAAGCATGTGTTTATATATTTAATCTTATTTCACATATACTACATTTTATTTGTCCGTCAGCAGACAATAATAGTCATGTTTTCTTTACCTCTGCACCCATTACCTGGTGAGAGACAAATTACCTATAGGCACACCTTATGTAATGCACATAAAAAATACATACACACACCTTATAAGCATTGCACCGTTCTTTAGCAGTGTTTGCTAAAGCCTCTGACCTGTCCAGTTCATTCTTCAGATCTCTGATTTCTTTAGGACACGAGGCTGGAGAAGATAGGAAAATCTTATATTCTTGAAATAGTAGTAACGTTGCTGAATAAATCTTTCATTACATTTTTTTCAATGGTTAATACAGATTCTTTCATGCCCACACCTACCCCTCCGCCCCCTTTCCCTCCTCCCCCATAACTTTACATTGTAATACAGTAAACTTGCAAGCCTACTGGCATACAGTACTTAGCTTGCCAGTACATTTTCAAACAACTTAACCATATACTGTCATACAGTGCTTAGCTTGTAGACAGACTGTCATACAGAACTTAACTTGTAGATACATTGCTAAACAGTTCTTAACTTGTAGATACATTGTGATACAGTACTTAAATTGTAGATACATTGTCATACAGTACTTAAATTGCAGGTAAACTGTCACACAATACTTTGGTAAGTACACCGTCATACAGTACTTAACTAGTAAGTACACTACCATACAGTACAACTTGTAGGTATAATGTCAAACAGCACTTAACTTAGCATGTTGAAACATGCTCATTTGTCAGTACTATTTGAATACTCTCTCAATCATTAATTATTACTATACTTTGAACATTTGTCAGGAATTGCAGAACACCAGTGAACACTTAAGTAGGTTGAACACTTACACATCTGCAGTATGCATGCAATTGACCTTCCGTAAGGTGATAATCCCACAGGCGATAACCTGCCAGACGATGTGTCAGGTGATATTCCCCGCGTTAATGTTCCCTGAGGCGATGTTCCCTGAGCTGATGTTCCCTGAGCTGATGTTCCCTGAGCTGATGTTCCCTGAGCTGATGTTCCCTGAGCTGATGTTCCATGAGCTGATGTTCCCTGAGCTGATGTTCCCTGAGCTGATGTTCCCTGAGCTGATGTTCCCTGAGCTGATGTTCCCTGAGCTGATGTTTCCTGAGCTGATGTTCCTTGAGCTGATGTTCCTTGAGCTGATGTTCCCTGAGGCGTTTCCTGGGGTGATTCTTCCATTGGTGATTCTCTCCCTGATGATGCTCCCTTGGACAATGACTGCGGTTTCTGATCTCTGAAAAAAAAAAAGAATTTCAAACTGATTATCGGTTTATAAACCTGAGCTTGACTTGTTGAAATAACTGCTTACATTTGCTACAGGATGATAGTTTTACACAACCCTCCATAGACAGATTCTGATCAATATGGAGGATAGTTGAGTTTACTGTGTTCAGCCGTGGCAAGTTTTTGTTTTTGTGACATTTGGTTGTTGCATTTTCATTTGTATGTAGACTGAAAGATTATAGTTTTGATGGCATGATGCGACACTGAGTTAAAGATTTCTGTTTTGAATTGCAGATTCAGGAAATGGCAAGTGGCCTGCAGCCACAGAATTGGAGGGTGTCTTATGTGATTAATCACATGTACAACTACTGATCTGTTGTAACTGCCACTTCCATCAATGACAAATGCCTTTCTAGTGTCAGGCTATTGTTTTGGCACTTCTGATGGCTGCTTTATGCATTCACTGAACGTGTATGCTAATGGATAATATGATACTGCAGCCTGTATCAGTCTTTTCACAATGGACAGTGATGGAAATTAGGTGTGGTTTTTATTGACAAAGGACTGAAACAGCTATGGAGTGACCCCTTTGCTAAAAAGTCGGACCTGCAATTATCTGAATACCTCCTCAGCAGACTTATTACATGCACTGTAGATCACAATATATTATGCTTCCATTCTAAGCTTGAAATCCTTAGAAGGTTATGACATGCAAGGTGGGTCACAGTGTTATGTTCTGCTTTCAATCTAGGCCTTGGTAATACAAAGTTAATAAACAAAAGATGAAGGTCTTTGCTAAGCAGGGATTTACACATACGACTGCAAATTAAAGAGTTCAGGACAAAAGTTAGAAAAGAAGCAAAGAAATAGAGAAACATCTTGGACAATCAGTGCTATCAAGTCATAAGACAAAGAAGGTGGTAATTTATTGGGCACATTTCTATTAGTGGACAAAAGTAAAGATCCCTTATTACGCCTAAGGCGCATCGGGTATATGGGCAGAGCGTCCCATATTTTTACAGACCAATCGGCACTGGATGGGTAATGTGGTCAGCATTACGCCGGCTATTAGTGGACAGAGAATCATTAAACAGACACTGAAAGAGGAATAAAATAAACTGAGGAAATGTGGATTTAAATGAAAGCCCGTAATGAATATTACTGAAGTGGAAAGGTACTGGACCTGACGGCTTGCATGATAACAGTAAGACAGCATAGGTTAGAAAGGAGTACTGGAGGCCTATGTGACAACAGGACGATGACAGTGCTGATCAATATTTATTGTCACAGGACAGGGCACATGTCTCAGATCTATACTCCATTAAAAAAAAAAAGTTCTGGTTATTTAAAAAAAAAAAAATAAGTCAGTACAAAATATAATCATGGAGTTACAAAACATGACCTCAAAGAAACAATTTAAAAAACAAAAAACAGATTCTGAAGACAAAAAAGAAGAAAAAAAAAACAAGACAATTGTATCTAACCCAGGAGCTGCTAGGGATTCGCTCGAGGAAGCCCTGTCAGTTGGTGGTTCCATCACAAGTGCTCCAAGTCTTGCTGCTGTTGTGAACATGTCTAACCGTTCCCTCAATTCATCCACTTCTCTCTGTAACAGGAAATTTAGCAATGAATTGTTAGTATAAATATATTTAGTATGTGTATATATTCAGTCCCCAGCAAATAACCTTATAAAGTGAGGAGCACAAACAGTACTGAGGTCATAGGACCCCATTCTGGGAGAAAAAAAGAATAGACCCACTGCCTACTCAACAAGTAGGTTGTAAGAGTCTGAGTGCTTCCTTCAAAGTCAGAGTACATCTGCCTTAGAGGCAAGGAACCAACATTCTGCATACTAGTCAGTCAGATCTGTAAAATGGATGTGCACGCAACACTCAGGTTCTGGAACAAACAAGATTAATATCCGAAGGTGGATAAACAACCATCCCCCCCCCCTCCTTGAAACCAAAGAAGTACTTTGAGAATACTACAAAGTTGTAATTAAAGTAAAGGGGTCTTTATTACACCAGGGCACCTGAGGCTAAACAATATTTCTATAGACCAGTCGGTATTCAGTGGGTGATTTGACAAGCCTTCTATAGACACTCATGTTTAGTTTATTATTGTTCCTTCAAAGTCAGAGTAAATCTGCCCCAGCGGTAAGAAACAACCAACTGCACACAAATAAGCCAGTAAAAAGGATGCACACGTAAAACTCAGGCCCTGGCACAAAGCCAAAGTCCAAATGGACGAATAACCGGGACTTTCTGCTGGAGCTTACAGCCGGTGAACAAAGTAGTAGTAGTTTTAGTTTATTCTAAAACCTACACTGCTTATGGGGCTATATCTCAGCATTTGTTTCTCCTAAAACCAAAAAGCTCAATAAGAAATGCAGAGGTTATCAAAACAGAGGGCACTTGGCTGAGTCTGCTCTGGTCATTCTCCTAGACAGAATATATGACAGGAGTATGTATTGAGCATTAAAAGATAACTTTAAAAACAGTACTGGAGGGAAAGGTTGAGGGAAAGAGCAACAGTTAGACAATGATAAAAGTGTGAGGACAAAGACTGAAGAATAGCAGTCTTTGAGCAAGAGATACAACATGATAGAGAAATCAGCAGAAAACCTTCAATGTGGTGGCGACACTTGATTTATTGACTCAACATATGTGATGAATATATTAGGGGCGTCTGAACTAATTTCTTTCTGCATGAAGTCACACACAAAAATGATTTAAAGAAAATGCTTAAAATGATTTTTCATTTAGTAGAGTTTTGTGAACATTATAAATTATCTGTATGTGCGTGCTAAGTGATACACATATAAATTATCTGTAGACATACCTTATAAATACTGCACTGATTTTCAGCCATCCGTTGTACAGTGATTGCAGTTTTCACATCAACTGTTAGGTGTTTTTTTGCACGAGGGATCCCTGGTGAGAAGACATAATTTTCTCAACAAGTACTAAAGTACACTAAGATCTGTTAAACTGTTTCAAAATGTTATACATAAGATTTTCAAAAGAACAAAAAGCACTAGCAAGTCTGTGTACCTCAAGACTGGGAACAGAAATAGTTTTTTTAATGAAGGAAAAAGCAAAAAAAAAAAAAACCTGGATCTGAAAATTAGAGGGGCACTGGAGTATCATTTTGGGAAACAAATACTTTAGCCATATTAAATGTTGCCAGCATGCATGTCATTGATCTCCTACAGGCTGCTACATGAAAAGAGTGATATCCCGAGACCAGAAGATCTAAATCTGGATGGCAGATCAACAGGATCTGAAGGTCTGACACCGCAAGACTAAAGAATCCCGGTGCTGATTGGCACACCATGACCTGAAGGTCTGACACCGCAAGACTAAAGAATCCTAGTGCTGACTGGCAGACCATCATGACCTAAAGGTCTGACACCGCAAGACTAAAGAATCCCGGTGCTGATTGGCAGACCAAGTGGGCAAGCCCAGAGACTCAATTCGACTTCAAAAAAAAAAAAAAGATAATTAGCAGCTGTAATAGATACAGCAGCCTGAAGTAAATTATACTAATGTGTATGTGTATGTGTTCTCTATTATACTAAATGTTTTGGGAATAATTCCCTATGTTGGTTGCGGGCCAAACTGAAGGGGTTGGGGTGGGGGAACAGATCCACTGCACCCTAATAAGGTTAGGATTTTGCTGAAAAAATATACACTGGGCCAAAAGGCACAGTTATTGCAGCCTGGCAGCTTTAAACCATAGCACCACATTTCTTTTTAAGGGTGACAAAGAAATCTGACAATAATGGGAATATTATGTAATTTTTACTGGCCAAGTGCAGCAATTATGGCATGGCCCATTTGTTTGAAACTGGAGGCATAACTTAGGATTGTTTACGTTCACCAGCTGTTAACCCTGGCAGAAAGTCCTTACTGTTCATTTCTAGACTCCAGTTTTGCATGTGCATCCTTTTTATAGATCTGGTCTAACTGTATAAAGGC